TTTGTTTTGCCAATTGAATGTGGATATGACATTGATTTCACATATTACCTATTTATTTCAACAACAAATTATTTTAGTCATACATTTCATTAATTGACACCAATCTTCATATGAAATTTCAATCTTTATTTATTTATTTATTCATTTTGCAAAATTATAAATATTAAAGAGACAAATTAACAATAAATACACTTCCATTAATCTTTATTTCTTCTTGGTCTTCAATGGTTGAAATTCAAAAACCACTTATGATATTACAATTTGATATAAGCAACATATGTTTACACTTGATCTAATTTCAGTTAAAACATAAATCTTTTTGAACTTTGACTAGGAAGTCACTCAAATGAGTTTCTATATGTAGACATACACATCAACCTAATTTGACTTTTAAGAATTTTTCATTTTAAAAATATAGAAAAAAAAAAAAAGCTTTTGGAAAAATTATTAAAGAAGTGGGAGGACAGGGAAGAACCGACACTTAGTTCTATAAATAGGATATATAAATAAATGATATGAGTGACAGAGCTAAGAATTAAAGTCAATGGATTAAAAAAAAATTCAAGAGTTAAGAGGATCGAAATTGAAAAAATTCAATATTTTTTGGGTAAGTCTTAAAAAGAAAAAATTATTGGAGGCCAACCCTCGACCCTAGCTTCATCAATGCACAACATGACAATTGAATTAATGAGAATAAATTATATTTTCTCTATAAAATTAATCTTTATTAAATTTTATCTGCATTTCACTTTTTTCCTTAATCCAAATTAATTCCATTCGTATAAGTAGACGAAAAGAGTAAATAATGAATTAATTTCTTCATAGATATTAATTTCTTCATAGATCAAATTAATTCCATTCCTTAATGCAAATGTATATTAATTCCTCATACTTTCCACCAATATAATTATTATTTAGAGAAAAATATAGTCCTTATTATTGTTTTATATCTTTTTTTAATGAAAAATATGTATATTTTTATTTATGATCAATTATCTTTATTCAATTGATTTGGTGTATATATTCATTTAGACCAATAATTAAATCCTTTTCTTCATAGATAATTGATTGTTTTGCAGCATATACTCAATCCGTTCCATTTTGTTTGCATAGTTTGACAAAATACACAAATTAAGAATTTAGTCAATAAAAATTATTTTACCATTTTTTACCCTTAACTCATTAAAATATTAATAAAAATCATTTATTTGATGAATTATTATTGTGAAAAAAAATAATTTTAATATATAAATTTAAAAACCTTATAAATATTTTTAAAAATTTAAAATATGAATTACAAGACAAATAAAATAGGAGGAAAGAAATATATAAGATTTATCTTTTTCTTCTCTTTTCTCAATAACCATTAATTGAAAGGAAAGAAAAAGAGTTCAAATTGGAAGAGAATTGGGATACAGCAAAGCTTAATATATATATATATATATATAAAATATCCTTTTGTGTGGAATGCATGTTAAATGTATATAATTGGACACATGACACCTAAAAGCTTGCAAGAAAGACAAGAGTCCTAGCCTGCATTGACTTTGCATTTAGCTAGAGCTACTGAATTATTCCAAAAATAACTTATTATTAATAATTTTCTACTATGTCATTTACTTTAAATTAAAGAGGGCTACAATTGAATTTTAGAATTTAATGCATTTCATACTCAAATTTTTATTTGAGAGTGACAAAATATAAATATTTATCAATTACTTAACTGTAATTTAAATTTAAGACTTAATTATATTTTAGAATCAAGTATTATATTTTATATAAAATTTCGATAAGATTCTGAGATCTCATTTATAATCATTAACGGACACTCAATCGTTCGATAGTACCTATTGAATTGGTATTCCAAACACATATTTAACTGCAACTCTAATCCCTATACATGTATGCAATATATCTATACAAGACATATACGATATATAAGTAATACAATATCTATTCAATATCGATTATTTATTATTTTTTTACTGACTTAAATATTGGAGTTGTTGTAGGTTTAAGGGTCTCTCTTTTCTTTCTCTTCTTTATCCATGTCTCTCAGATTTCTACATATCGTTGTGAATAGAAAATCTATCAGAGAATGCATTATTATTAAAAATGTGAGTTGACTCTTATGATTTTAGTATGTATGTAGACACACGAATTAAGTAAAATTAAATTAATCTTTTTTTGTCAAAAAAAAAAAAAAAAGTTAATGTCATTGAACTTTCACATACCAATGGTTGTAGATAAAAAAATTGTATTAAAAACTTATATATGATTATGATTCTAAATTAAAAATACGTCATTAATCTTTAAAGTTTTAAATATTGATAAATAAAGATGTATAATAACCTAGTTTTGAGAAACTATTTTTTTTTTTTTATTTATTAAGATTAAAATTTTCAAATAGACAACAAAATTGAAGTATTGAACTACAACAATACTTGGTGCCCCCCAAATTAATTATTAAAAATAATTAATAACAAAAATAAAAATCTAGAATAGCTAAAAGTTGTTATTCAATAGCTAGCCTGATTAGTTTGTTGGGTCGCCTACTTTGGTCAACAAGAGCAAAATGCACACGTTATTAGTGTTTAATGGATTCAAATCCTCAAACTAATCAATTTTTTGTTAAGGGTTGTTCATCCTATCTTGACTCCCTTTTTCTCATTATTCAAATAATTAAATTAATTATAAAAATTATTAAGTCTTTCATTAAGAATTGTATATGTCTGTCTATTTATGGTCATGTTCTGCAATAGCTTTGAAGTTATCATTTAACATTTTGATTAACGATAAAATACAACTTTTATTAATTAAATTATTAGGTGATGCAATATTTATAATAATATTTGAAAATTAACAGGGTATTTCATGAAATGTTATTTTCTTTAACATTTAGCATTTAACAACAATTAATTAAACTTTTTAACTATTTTACATTTAATAGCTATTTTTATCGAGTATTTATATTTTAAGCAACTATAAATTACTAAAGTTATTAAAATAATTAATATTACGGAACAAAATAAATTTAAAAACTAATAAAGTATATATGTACGTATATTTTTAATTGGTCACTTCTTTATTTCCTTCTACGTCAATCTTGCCATCAACTTAAAAGTGCCAGTTCTCTGACACTTCATCTCATTTTCTTTAATTTTTCAAACACCATTATTTTTCTGAAGATGGGATTGTATTGGAAACTGATAGACTAAAAGCTGTTTGACGTTATTCTTATTTTTTATTTTTATATTAATGAAAGATATGACTTATTCTCTGTTTAATATAAATAATTTTTTGCAAAATTTTTTAAAATTAATATAAATCCTTATGTTCTTATATTTGACATGAATTTGAATATTAATTTTGTAAATTTAATTTTTATAATATTTAATATAATATAATTACAATTTATTATTCATAAAAAATATATATTTTCAAGTTTTTTTTATGCTTAATATTTTTTTATGTGATACGTTTGTGCAATATTATAAGAGAAATTTGTTACCAAAAAAAAGTACTAAGAGAAAATATTTTAAAATTCAGGAACAGTGGCAAGTCTTGTAATAAACATAATGATTGTGAACATTCTGACAAGACTAAAGTGAAAAGGTTGCAAGAAGTCAACGAAACCAACGGCTGAGATCTGCATTATAATGACTCTAAATGGGTCCCATGATCTTATCAAATCACGTGCTGATGATTTGTGATGGTCAATCACATCTGCATTCTGCGATATGGAACGTGCATCATTATAACATACGTGTGTGCCGATACTAGCATCATGCGGCTAACCGATGGATTTTTATGGGTACGGGATACCCATGAGTTTCAGTATATTATATAATAATGAATCCAGGCTCAGTCCGAATCAAACTAGGATGATTACGGGTCCGGCCCAAGAGATTTTGGGCTAAAAAATTATTGTCCAGGCTTGACATTTTTATCGGCTTTGTCGGGCCCCGGACAGATACCCATGCTTAGGTCTGAAAATAATTATATCCAAAACTCGGATTTTGGCATTTAAGGCTCTTGGCAATATTAATTGCTTGGTAACTGTTAGCTCAGCTATTAATTTTTCGCGGATAATTATTTATATAATAGCATACAATAGGAGTATGCGGTAAAAATTGCTGTTCAATATAGTTTTTAATATTTTATTAAAAGCTACATCAATTTTTAAAAATTATTATAAAAATTATGTTGCTCAAAAGTTATTGTCGAACGTGGACTTCGAATAAAGAATTATAATTAATTATAACCAAATTCTTCTACATGTCTATGTACTATTATATAGATTAATATATATTTATAAAATTTTTATAGTTTTGTAAAGAGATTATAATGAGGTGGTAAAGACGTTGATCATTCGCCTATTTAATCCAGATTTAATTCTCTACTACAGCATCATATTGACCCTAATGCCTTTGACCCTGATGCCTTTGTGGGATGGAAGAAGGGGGCAAAATCATGAATGTGTATTAAATTAAGACGTTAACACCTTATCGGTGACTTGAGTCGGCGGGCAACGATCGATACACTTGGCAATCCCTTTTTTTATTGTTGAAAAAAAAAAGTAAAGAAGCGTAACATTTTTTTATTGTTGAAAAAAAAAAAAAAAAGGTAAAGAAGCGTAACATGTCTGAAAGTTGTATGGGCCAAATTATTTTCTATTTAATTAATTAATGCTTTTTGATTTTTGGTGTTTTTATATGGGAGACAATGATTTGATTTCACATTGAGTACTCCTAGTCCAGTTTTGGAAGCAGTATATTTTAATTTATAGAAAGATAATCATGGTGATAGAATAATTGAATTTTTTTGCAACCTTAAAATATAAAACTATAGCATAAGCAGAAAAGAAAATTTTTAGAAATTGGTATATGTAATAAATCAATTTCAAAAATAAAATTTAAATTCTTTTAAATAGTTACCTCCCATATACAAGTATATTAAATATTTTCAGAGACTAATTCTAAAATTAGCAGGGATTTCTGATTTCTGTTGATTTCAAAATTTATGGATTTGGATTGTCTTTAACAATATTCTACTGAACTATGATTAGGCTCACCGGAATTAGGGAAAAAAAATCTGGCAAGATAAAATTCAATCCACAAATTATAACATTTCCAATCCAACAAGACTTTCACGAACAAGAATTAAGCTCTCAACACTACACTACACTACACTAAGCATACAGTGCGCGCTACCCACTATCAAACTTCTCAATGCTCATTCAAGAACTCTTCAATGGCGACTCTTTATCGATATCCGTGTTTCTTTTCACTTTCTTCTCGTAAAATCTCCTTGAATCAAGAAGATTTCAAGATAAACTGGAATACCCATTATCAGCATTACCCACCTCAAAAACATTTCAGGATTTGTGTTTGTGAGGCCAAGAAATCAAGGTTTGTACTTCTATTAGTAATTATTTTTTCAATTATCTGATTTCTCGGGTTCCCTTTCTTTTTATTTGTGAGTTTATTTCTTGTATTGAGGTTGTTAATTTAGGGGCAGGAGAAAGGTGAAGAGTAACGCAGAGCTTTGTAATGATATTCGAGAATTCGTGTCTGCTGTTGGACTTCCAGAAGGTCATGTCCCCTCAATGAAGGAGCTTTCTAACCATGGAAGGTTGGTCTTTGTAACTGTTGCTTTCTTTAACTCCATTTCTGATTCCTAGGTAGCCAAACCTAATTCAGTTTTGTTATGTTCCCTCATTTATTTTGCTCTGTAATGTACGAGCAGGTATTAACTTAATACAAACTTGTTTTATTTCATATGTAAAGGAATCAATTTTAATCTTTTTCTTTACCCCCAAATGGGACGGAAAGAAAAGAGAAAAAAAAAAAAAGAAGGGAACGAAATATTGTATATTAGATATTACTGAATTTTATGTTTTATTTATTTTTTCTCTTCAAATCTCTCATAGAAATGATCTTGCACACATTGTGAGGCGGAGAGGATATAAACTTCTTAAAGATTTGCTCTCGAACTATATTAAAGCAGAGACGGATGGGTCCAATGCAAAGAAAAGTTTAGCTGAAGGACACGACATGATTAATGGTCATGCAGATATACCAGCAGGTCAATATATGTTTGGACACGACATAATTATTATGTTTGGATTGTTTTTTTAGGCTCCATTTCTGTTTATAACTTCATGTAATTTAGAAGGCCCGGATGAAAAGGTGGAGGATGTTGTTGAAGATAGCTCTTTCTCAACTGAAGTTCCCATCATCAGCGTAATCCCTGATTGCAACAGCAGTGACCACAGTTCCATGCCTACAGAATCGTTGGTTAGGGATGTTACCTCTTTGACAAACTCATATAGTATACAACAGCAGGATGAGGAGGTTGAATATGTGGTTGAAGACAGTTCCTTGTCATTTCACTGTGGCAGTGCAAAACAACAGGGTGGAGAGGTCTCAAGCATGGCTGATGATAATTCCTTATCAACTGAAGTTTTGGTCGTGGATAACTCTTATTGCAATTTGAATGGGTACCCCAGTCTCAACTTTGATGGCAATACGTGCATGCCTGTAGAAACTCCAGTGAATTTTTCCTCAGAGGAAAAGGCCTTAAACAATTCAGAAGTTCAGGATGAGAAGGTCAATATTGTGGTTGAAGACATCTCATTTCCGGCTGGAGTTTTGAACTCAGAACATCCTGCCAATAATGCTGACGTTGTTCCAGGTCTCAACCTTGCTTATCATAGTTATATTCCTATGAATCCTGCTGCCAATTCATCTTTGGAGGATAAGGTGGCTAGGTTTATTCTAAATGGAGATTTGGATGCTATTGAAGGCAAGTGTATTGATAAGTTATCTATTTAAGGTTTGCTTCAGTAACTACATTTTCCGTAGGGTAAAAATGGACAGGATAATGTCAGCTCTTGAAAGGAAGAACATGCTAAATGTTACAAATAGTGTGATCATCCAACATTAGTGTATGATTAGGAAATTTGACTTTGTCCAGTAGTTAGTCCTATGGTGAGGCTTAAAATTATTGTCTTTTGCAATATTTGATGCTTTTTCATGAGTTGTTTTGGCTGACAACTCTATTTTTACTTGATTGCCACATTGACATGTAAGCATCTATATCTTCTACCCTAAAAACTTGGAAATGTTATTTAATCATATTACTGTAGGCATTCAGCAACCTTTGAGTTCTACATATTTTTATGTACTTTTTGCTATTGCCTACCAATTGAAGCAGATATATCTTTTTCTTATCTTTATTATTTGGATCTTTGGAAATGGAAGTTAAGTATGCTGTGTTGCTTGATCATCAGATAATGTCCATGGCATGTTTGATGGGAATACTGAAGGACCTGAGGGATTTAATCAACCAAGGAATGAGAATGAAATTCAGTCAAAGACCCCTTCTGAAGAGAACTTTGCACATGCAGTTAGCAGAAGTAATACTGCTTTGGCATTAAACTGGAGTACGTTCACATCCGAGCACATTATGTCACCTGCGAGGGTAAACTTCCCAATTAGGTTGGTAATTTATACAATTCTCAAAGTGTCTAATCGTTGGCTCTAGTTTATTTTTCATGGCTTAATACATTAATCTTCAGAGTCCCTTAAATGACTATTGCATGGTTGAATTCCATTCATGGAGGGTGATCAAGTGGTATTTTTTGTTCATCTCTACCATTAGTCAACTTCTTGTTGATATCATGATTTAAGGCATGCTTCTTGTTTTTGTCAGTGGCCATACCAACAGTGCATATTAATTGTTACCATCCAGTTCATTGAGAAGCTTTCCTGACTGTAAAATTTTATTGCTTTCTTTTCATTTCCATATCAAATGATTAGCTTACTCTTTGAGCAACACGAGGACTAAGGAACATAAGAAAATTTGGAGACTTATGATGCCTATTTTTAGTGATCCATGACAATTTTATTTCAAATGTTTCACATTTTATTTTTATTTCTTGTTCTCTTTTAGGAACCACTGGTTTACTTTTCTTGGTGCATAAATAAGTATTTTTTCCCCTCTTCCCTGAAATCATCTCTTTTACTTTTTAAATATTTGTAGGAACAATGGTTTGCCAGCTGAAGGGTCAGCCAGTTCTGATCTAGACAAGGATTTGGATGTTGAGGTCGTTATAATATAAATTACAATCTTTATTAAAGCTTCACTACAGCTGCTTATTTTGACTAATAATGTATTGGCTTTTATATTTATGTGGTACAGACAAGCAAAAGGGAGAATCAGGTTGAAATTGATCATCTCAAATTCATGCTGGTACCTATATATATGTCATCTATAAACCTGCATGTCTTCTTGTTCTTTTGATGATGGGGCTTCATTCTATTTGCTAACTTTTTGGATTGTTGGTTGCTTAGCATCAAAAGGAGTTGGAACTTTCCCGCTTGAAGGAACAAATTAAGAAGGAACAGGTATATAAACTAGTGCAACATGGCTGGAGTGCTGTATTCTAGTTCTCTAGCTTGATTGCACACTTGAATTTGCCTCACTTGATCTGAGCATTAAATATGAAAGTGAAGCTTGCGCATTAACTAGTTAATTGATGGCATGTCAAGTGAATAAAGATAAAGCATTAATACACAAAGCTAGTTTCAAGATTTGAACTTTAGGCACACCTAATATTTTATTTATGTCCTTAATAGCAGCTTGATGCTTTGATTTAGTTGGAATGAATGTTAGTGACATTCAGATTGTATATGGAGTTGAATCAACATCAATTTGAAGGTGATTACTTATAGTGATAGGCAATTGTTCTCTATAATATGGGATATATGCAAAACAGAATGTTTTGTTTATTCAATGATAATTTTAATGCTTTGAGTGACAAACCTATATGCACAGTAGCTTTTAATAAAATATGAATATTTGAATGAACTTTCCAATCAGAAAAACATTTTCTGAGATCCTTTAACAGGTTTCAGTTAAAAATTTTTGCCATTGATATTTGAAATTCCAAGTTTGGTGTTATTTGTTGATCTACACTGCTTCAAGCACGGAGTTTAGCTTTTATCCAGGCAGACAGCCTACTGTTTTGTAACTCTTAATCATTTTGCATTTAATTTTTGGCTGCAGCTTGCTTTATCTGATTTACAAGCCAAGGCTGAAACAGAGATTAGCAAAGCTCAAAAACTCATCTCAGAAAAAGATGCTGAATTACTTGCTGCTGAAGAAGGCTTATCTGGATTAGTGGAGGTATTGTACGTATGAATATTTTTTTGGTCCATATCAAATTGATTCGGTACTATTGTAGACTTGGTAGTGCTCAGATTTTTCTGAATATGGCAAAGTGTGTGGCACGTATCTTTGACCCATTGATACAATACTTTGATACGAGTATCATAAAATGAAATTAGTTACACTTTAGGCAAGGTATTAACAACTTGAAATTAGCATCATTTACTTCTGCGCATGATGTATCAATATGATTTAAGCATAGAAGTTTAAGAACTTGAACATAATGTTCTTTGAGTATGTAATAAGTTCTAAAAGTTAAGTAACTTTAGTCCCAAAGTTCCTGAACTCCCACCAATTCCTCTGGCATTTGAGAAAGAGAGACCAATATTGGACCCAACAATACTGACAAGTTCTACTTGTTTCTTCACTCTTTATGTTGATGGTTTCATCTGGGACTAGAAGCATTTTATGGCCGCTGACGGGAGTAATTTTTATCAGGTTAAGATCCAATACAGTGGGGATGGAGAAATTGTGGAGGTGGCAGGTAGCTTCAATGGCTGGCATGAACGGATTAAAATGGATCCTCAGCCATCTTCTAGTGTTCCAGATACTGGATCAAGGTGTTTACTGTCTTCTCTTTTGTTAAATGTTGCTGTATAATCATCTGCTTGTCTACATTTCAAGGTGGTCAATTTTTTTGTTGCCACTGTTCATGAAGTTCAATGTGTTATGTTGAATGCGCAAGGTGTTCCTCAGTAATATCTTTATGCGGTCTATTTTTCCTTCCTTGAAACACTTACTAGTTATGCTTCTTCGCATGCAGTTTCTCATTCATTTTGTTTCAGCTTGGTTCCTTTTTTTTTTTTTATATATATTTTTTATTATTTTTTTTTTTTTTTTAAGACGTTGGTCTCTCTTCCCCAAAGCTAAGAGTCTTGGGAGATCTTAACCCCCTAAAATCTAGCTGCTGGGGGAGAGAACTCAAGACCTTATCTATGCACATCTAATTCCCACTAATGCAGTGATTTGGCTTAGGTTTCTCTTCCCCAAAGCATTGATTTGGCTTAGGTTTAGCAATTTTTAACTTCTAATGAAAATATGAGGCATTTTAACCCTCCCCACTATATGCACATGATACTCGTTAATGCTTCTTATGCTGATGTTAGAAATAATCGTTTAACTTATTCCCTTCGAATTCTGATTTCTACGCTGCCAAAGAAATATGAACATTTTCAAATTCCATTTGCTGTTTATTAGTATTTTTTTTTTCACACTATCATGCAATATGAATCTTCACCTCCTTTCTTTTCGCTCTTTCATGTTTAGATCAGGATCTGAGTATTTCTTTAAAAGAATAGAGCATAAAAATATGCAGCAACAACTACTAGGGTCTGCTACATAAATATTTTGTCTACATAATAGAATGGAGACAAAAGATTCGTGTAGCAGACCTCGGTTACTTGTTGTTGCCTATTTTATGCTCTATTCTTTTATTAATATATCAAATGGTTTAAAATTTTCCTTAAAAAATCTTTCCTACAAAATTATTTAAAATTTTTTTTTTCTGGCTAAATTTTGCTTTGTATTGATATTTATCAAAGTGGATATTGGAAACAAAAGATTCATATAGCCGACCTCAATTAGTTTAAGACTAAGGCTTATTTGTTGTTGTTGTGGTTGTGGTAAGGAATAATAAACTCGCTGTGGTAATTTGTTTTTTCAGGAAATCCAAACTTTGGTCAACAATGCTCTGGCTTTATCCCGGTGCATATGAGGTGTGTGAATGTCTGCCACAAAATTATTATGCTACTGCCCATTCTTTATATTTGTCTCAGATAAAGTTAGTATTTCAGAGATAAGTTAGCTACTAATTGTTTGAGTTAATGAAGTTTTCTAGTTTTTATATAAACTGCTTTGTTACTGGCGTACTGTTGCCAAGTAGGCAGAGCTCAGAAGAGGAAAGAACACCTTCATAAACTCAGCGGAGCAAGTCCACACTTATAAGAGCTCTGGATCATATTTTGATGTTATTGTAAAACTGATATATTGATGCACCTAACTGTCAATATTTCTCTAGATAAAGATTTATATATATATGAGAGAGAGAGAGAGAGAGAGAAAGATGGATAGTGGTATCAAGATTTGAAGTCGTGAGCATGATATTGTTCTCTTGTATTCATTTATATTAAATAGTTCTTCTGAGAGTTTCTTTTATGTTCTGCAAATGAGGCATACTCATTGCAAAAATTAATTATTGCAGAAAGATAATTGCAAAATCAAGGATATGCAATAGCAATACTTGAGTTCTTCATGTACTTGCCTCCAAGCATGTTATTTGTAAAATGAATACTTTAATACCTTGTGACAGTTGTTGAGAACAAGAACTTCAATTAGTTGAAAAGGAAAGAATAGATGTTCAAATCATGTTCTGTAATTTCTGTTCTTCTGTTTGTTCTGTCAATGAGATGCTATGAACTCATTCAAGCTATACGTATTCATGGTTCACCTTCTGTTACTTGTCTCTGTATTTGACGTATTACTATTGCAGATAAAATTTATTGTTGACGGCCAATGGAGAATTGACCCTCATAGAGAGTCGGTTACTAGGGGTGGAATTTCTAACAATGTTCTCCGAGTTGTTGGATGAACGTCTTCTGGGTCTTTTTATGCATGGAAGACATTCTGTTGTCCATCCAATCTCAAGGTAAATGAAATGTTTATTTCTTAGTAACCAAAATTATAGCAACTTCTATGCAGTTTTACTTTGACTTTATTGAAACTGCTTCCTCTATAAGCAACATCTTGCTGTCTTGCATAACGAGAATTAATGTCGTTTAATTTGCATAACTGCTACAGTTAATCTTTCTGTTTGCTTGCCATTTACACTGACTTTTTTTACAGAGATTAGAATTTTGATTATGTTAGATATCATATGCTTACTTCTCTCGGATTGTTGTTTGTGATGCAGCACATTGATCGATCAGTTCATATTTTAGTACCATCTAATGGGGGAAGAACATCAAACCATGGAGCCTATGTTGACAAATTTAAATTTTAATGCAAATTCTGTAGATTCTGGATCAATTCTTCTATTGCATGCCATGCAGTGTATAGGGAGTTTCATATGATAGAGTAGAGTAGTTATGTGATTCTTGATGAGTTGAAATTTTGTGAATTAGTAAAATGGATGTAGCCAAAAATGAGTTTGTAAATTCTGAATTAGCAAGAATGGGTTTAGCAGAGATTTGGACAGGCCAGGAGCTATATCTTCTGAATTCTTTACCAGATAGAAGCAATGAGCATGTGAATGGTAGTTGATGGAATAATCTTGTATTATTAATGTAGTTCTCCATTTCAGAATTAACAAATTACTATTGACAATTTCTAAAATAATATCGTTGTTCTTGTATAATTAATGCAAGAATGTTGAGGGTTGTGATGAGCTATTATTGGTACACAAGTTATTGTTGATTAAGTGTAGTGATGTATATGGTTTCTTAATTTTTCGATTTGAATTTTCAATCAAAAGTTTGATACTGATTGACGATATTGGAGAATCAACTATTTTTCTGTTGTAGGGTCCGACAATGATTTGCAATTCAACAGAATTAGGAGTTGAGTCAAATTCAATTTGGGGGATGGAGAAAGACATTATCATATTTTTAATTTAGAAGATCATAGTTTTATAGTGAAGCTGCCATGTGCAACTGCAATAGTAGATTCTACTTTCCAATGAAGCTGCCTTGTGCTCCGAATTTCTTGCAAAACTAAAAATTTATATGAACATTGCATGACTGACCTACCAATAGAGCTTGTAGTAGCTGCATATATTAATATTTGGCCAAATATTAGTACAATAAAAAAAAAAAAAAGGAAAAGAAAGAATTCAGTCCCAAAAAATATGAAAATAACCTTCTATGCTGATTTGCCGCAACATGTAATTGCTTATGGCCAATATAACCTCAATATCAAACCAGCAACCTCGCTGCGCTATGCAGTGACTAAAGCAAGTAATCATGTGAATGCTAGTTGATGGAAGAATATTGTATTATTAATGTCGTTCTTCCATGTCAGAATTAACAACTTATTATTGACAATTCACAAAATAATATAATTAATCCTGTATAATTAATGCAAGAATGTTATCTGTGCATAGAAAGTTTTCTGTTGAGGCCGGGGAAAATATCCTCTTAGAATCCCCATCTTCTGATCAGTCTTAAACAGCAGTCTAAGGTGTGTGCAAAAAACTCTGGTTTTAATCCCTTTCCTGATGCATATGGGATTGATTCTATCAATTTTGAGTTTAAATTCAACATAACGTTTCCAGATTGATTAGTGTCTGGGTAGCAAACTTTTGAGTTTAAGATATCAACATTGCCATGGGCCAGACAAATTTTGGTTGGGTTGGAAAGCCTGTATTTTAGTCCAGGGTAGGGCTGTATAGGAAAGAGTGTGGAGACCACGTGGAGAATTATATAGTAATGGACTGGCGTGTCCAAAGCTTCACCTTTTCTTGCCCATTAGCTTTCACCTAATTATTCTCCTGTTCTTTTTTATCTCTCGCTCGCTCTTTCTTTCTTCCAGTACCATCTTCTTCTCAAGGCTCCATAAACCCTTTCTCTCTACCTTTTGCAATTTGCTTGACAAAAAAAATGGCTATGGTTAATGCTTCCTTAGCTCATTCTTTAAAGAACTGCTTTCCTGTTCTTTTCCCTTCTTCCTCTTCATTTCCTAGTATCTCTACATCTTTCTTTAGAATCCCTCCTACTGCGTCTTTCTCTACTGCATTGCCTTCTTCTAGAAGTAGAAGATGCTTCTTTCCATCTTTTGCTATCAAGAATGAGGTTTTTGAAGCTGTTGATGGGTCTGAAGCACTAGAAGAACGTGTGAAGGAGCCTGAAGAGACATTTTTGTATTCTTTCAGCCCATTGCCTTTGCTTCTTGTGGCTGCTCTTCCTGGAGGTAAAATTTAATTCATGTACATTCTTGTATTATTTATGGCTTTTATTATTTATTTCAGGGATTTATTACTAAATTGCAAGGTGAAAGCTTCATATTTTGTTAACTTGGTTTGAAGTTTTACTAATTTCTATCTTTTATTTATTGCGGATGTTATTTTTCATTATTATAATAAATTTGAATACATGATGGAGAATTGTAAAGCATGTTTCTTTAAAGCATTAATTATAAAGGATGTGGCTTAGGATGGTTGATTAGAAAAAAAAAAAAATTCTTTGGGTATTCAGTGTTTGGGTTTGCATGGGAATAAGGTGTTTGGTATAATGCTACAGAGTATTTGGTTTAATGGAGAATTGACACATTATATGGAAAGCACAGGAAAATCTTGCCAAAAATGGAATTTTGTTTGGAGAAATAGAAGTAAGTTTGCTCAAGTTTGTACAAAAACAAGTGATAGAAAGTTTTTGAAAGTAAGTTCAGCAACTATATAGCTTTCTAAGATAACAGAAGTAAATACGAAATTTAACGGAGCAGAAAACAAGTTTGTGCTCGTAAATTATTTTTTGTGAATATAAATTATGGGATGTAGTACATACGGTACAGCGTTTTTTTGTGCTCTGAAATCAGGTGGGGCTGAAAAATGCTTTCCATTTTCAAGAACAAACCTTAGGAATCAATCTTTGTCTCCCATAAATGGAGTATCACATGTGTTTTCTTACAAAGATGAAATCCAGTAAATTCAGTAGTTCTTCTGGTATTTTTGGTGTTTGATATGAGCTAATACATTCTGCTCCAAAAGCATATACTTAGTTATTCTATCTTCTCCTCAAATTGCTATCTACTTTATGCCTTCCTTTCACGCTTTTAGTACTCAAGAATTTTGAATATGTGAATATCAGCTGGTACTGTGAGATCTCTCTTTGGGCCTTTTGTGGAGCTTGTAAAATCATGGAATCTTCCCGATTGGCTTGTGCATTGGGGTCATCCTGGAAACATGGTATAATTTCTTCTTTTGATCTTGCTTCTTCATTGGCCAATGCCACATTCGTTACTTTCAGTTTCTTGTTTCAAGTATTGCTGTTCATAATACTTTCCGGTGCTTATTAGGCTGTTGTCCTTTTTGCAATGGGTGGTTATGGAACATACTTGGGATTTCAAATTCGTTTTTCTGATGATGTGGTAAGCTGAGCAAAATGTTTAACTTGCGACCAAACCAAATATGTTGTGGTAAGCTGAGCAAATGTTTAAAAACTTTGATGATGTGGTAAGCTGAGCAAAATGTTTTACTTGCGACCAAACCTATATATATATATATATATATCTTCCTGATACCTTGATATGGTATGATTCAGGAGGTGAAGGCCAAGGCTAAAGACTTGCACCCAAAGCTTCTAGGTGGCATGTTTTTCTTCTTTGCTCTTGGAGCAACTGGTGGAATAACATCTTTACTCACTTCAGATAAACCAATTTTTGAGAGGTACTTAAATCTATATCTACTTGGATTTTCATTCACCTTACATTTTTATTATTCGACAGAATGCTAATCTTTATATTTCTGTATTTATGCAGTCCACATGCTGTTACTGGTTTTATAGGCCATGCTCTGTTGACCATACAGACAATTTTACCAGCACTCTTTGAGGTAACAACTGAAGTAATTGCTAATAATCTTTTATTGTTTCATTTAGTCTGTGCAGATTCTTGAATTTCTTAATTTACAATCTTGATTTAATCATGTGCAGGGAAATCCCGGATTGAATCCCGGATTGCGAAACATTCATGGGATCTTGGGAAGTAGCATTATGACACTCTTTCTTCTACATGCTGCTTCTTACATGGCGTTGCTCTAGGACTTCAACTTTTGGTCTCAGTTACTTAATCATGGACCCATGACCACTTACCAAAATTTTTCCTGATTAGTTTTTTGGCTTATCCTGTTATATTTCTTTTCTGGATAATAATTCATGTTATTAAAATGTTATAATAATAGTAATGTAGTCTATATAACTCATATTTGAACAACATATGAACAAGTAATCAAAAAAGTAGTTATAAGCTTACCAATTACACAAAGCAATAGAATAATTCAAAACCCTTGACAATAAATTGTTGTCCCAAAAAAAATTACAATGCAGGGAAACATACATGGATATCTAGAATAACCAAAAAAATGTAGAAATTACCCGGCCGGAATTTGGAGACTTACAAATTTTTACCCCAATCGATTTTCTCATTGAAGGTTTAAAAGGCCATGAGATCAATCCTTGAATTTCTTAATTTACAATCTTGATTTTAATCATGTGCAGGGAAATCCCGGATTGCGAAACATTCATGGGATCTTGGGAAGTAGCATTATGACACTCTTTCTTCTACATGCTGCTCTAGGACTTCAACTTGGTCTCAGTTACTAATCATGGACCAGACACTTACAAAATTCTTTCCTGATTTAGTTTTTTGGCTTATCCTGTATATTCTTTCTGGATAATAATTCATGTTATTAAAAATGTTATATATAGTAATTAGTTATATACTCATATTTGAACAACATATGAACAGTAGCAAAACATATATAAGCTACAATAAAACAAAGCATAGAAGTAATTAAATTGAATAATTTTGTTCCAAAATTACATGCGGCATAATGGAATCTAGAAAACAAAAAATGTGAAATCCGAATTTGGAGATACAAATTTTTACCAATCGATTTCTTCATTGGAAGGTTTAAAAGGCATGAGATCAATCCAAATACAATTTGTTAATTCCTTTGTATTCCAAGAGTTCCCACAAGAATAATCACCCAAAAAAGAATGGTACTTTCTATCACATCCTCATTTTATTATTGCCATCACTTCTGAGAATTCTAAAGTTGAGTTTAAAGCATTAGAACAGGACTTACAACTACATCTCCATCTCTATCCACAATTCGTACGTGGTATTGAAATTACGTTGGTTGAAGTTTGTCATCAACTCTTGATAGAAGGACTTTGCTTGATATATATGGTTTCTGGATTTTTCGATTTGATTTTTCAATTAAAGAGTCAACTATGGTTTGTAATGCAGCGGAATTAGGAGTTGAACGAAATTCAATTTACTTTGTGCAAAGAAACCAAAGATACTACCTTAGTTTTAACTTGGTAGATGATAGCTTTTCAACGAATTTACCATGTGCAACTGCTGCACAAGATTCTATCTTTGTCTGGACCATGATGTAATTAGTAATTTAGTTGATAGTTTAGTTCATTCTCCTCTCTGTTATAATATTTTCTAGTTATAATCTTCCGTCAATGCATTATAGATTTCTGATTTTGCATTTGTTCTAACTATCAAGAAGCATGAATATTAGTAAAATGTGATTTTCATAATTGGAATGCTCAAAGCAGTGTTAGTGTTTTTACATAATTTGGCAAGTGCAGGACATGCTATTCCTGCATCTACTTGTCAATGATAAGATAGATTTCAAGAATGCAGCCACAAGCGATCATGCAGCCTCTCTTCTCCAGCACCAAACATTTCATCAACCCTTTCACCGTCGCGATAAAAATGAAATGTGGGTGTATAACGAATTTGCAGAGTTGTTTCTGGACATTCATCAATATCTGCATATATGAAAGAAAGCTTAGGGAAATTGTTGCTCAGCTTGCAAAATGCAGGGAGGATCTGGCTACACACCCTACACCTGAAAAATACACAAAAATGTTCAATTAACAAGAGAATCAACAGTTTCCATATTTCAAGATTTGAAAAGAATACCATTTCAAGTTCATTTTTCAAAAAAAGTTATTTTATTTAAATAGATTAAGAATTGAAGTATATATCATTTCAATATAAATTATTAAGGTTTGATCTAAAAAATTTTGGATCTTCATGAACCAAATCCAAAAAAATAGGATCTTGTTACAAGAAATCAAGAATTCAAGTCTGTGTATAATTCTTGATGGAGCAAACCAAACATTGGATATATTAGGCATTTAGGCGAAGTAAGACGCAAGGCTGAGATTTCATGTAAAAACTTTCTAACAGGCTATACATCGAACACCTCGTGTGCACATACAAAGCCTTGCATTAAAGCAAAAGAAGGAAACGTACCATGAAGCGCCGTAGTTGATAACTGCCTGCAAGCATGAAATAGAGAAACAAGTTAAAATTGAAGGACATAATAAGCTCCTAAAGAAAAAGCGATTGAAGGTGAGAGTGTATCGTTACAGTAGTCTTGGAAGCTTTGATGTCAGAGAGAATTTCGAGGAGATTTTGATCGCTAGAAGCACTCTTCAGGTTGCCATGGCGATTCACGGGCAGCTCTAGACCAGTACCCTCTAATCCTTTCTTTGAGCTCTCCTCCATTTCTTTCTACTCCACGTTTTTGGGCTATGCTTATTTGGAATTGGAGTCTTTCAAGTAAAAGCCCGATCACGTTTTTATTTATTTGCCAGTTCGTTTATCGTTATACCAACAACACAACGATAAAGTCGTTTGCGTTTGTCTAGACTGTCGTTCGTCAAACGACAAACGACAAACGCCCAACTTCAAATTTTCTTCTTTAGCCTATTACTGGAACAACACTATCTGCAAGCAGTTTAAGTTTTGGGAAACCCCCCACTTTTTTTTTCATTCTCTGGGAGTCGGGAAGCCTATTTCACTTGGAAGCAACACCAAGTCCATCCAATAACAACCACGACGATTGTACTGTTATGTTTTAATTCCAAACTAAGACTATATAGATTCTTTAATTTTACTGTTATGTCTTAATTCCAAACTAATTAGAATCGACTATATAGATTCTTTGATTGTACTATTATGTCTTAATTCCAAACTGATTCTTTTGTACTGTTATGTCTTAATTCCAAACTAATTAAAATCGACTATATAAATTCTTTGCTTTCATTCTGCTTGTTCGTAGCTAAGTCCGCACTAACATCAAGATGCAATAGATATTATATAATTTTTCAAGTTCAACCATTTCCAAGCATTGTGTGTGAAATATAACTAAATAAGCATTGCACACTCAGTAATTACTAACAGCTAGTCAGGTAAAATAAGTAGCACTTGGCATTCAGCAAATAGCTCCTGAAATGGAGTAACTTAAAACTGATAATTCAAAAATAACTGTTCTTAGGTTGTTCAACAATAAATACTTGAACAGAGCTGATTAATTTTTTCCAGCTCTTATCTAAAAGCTGACACAATGTCTTTTAAACCATAATGAATATGTTTCTCATGTAAAAGGCCTTTGCTCTGTGCTGTTAAGAGGCAGCAGTTTCCTCTTTCTATCTCCTTCTAGGCTTTTCTTCCCCTTGTCAATTAGAATCTTCCCATTAATTTGATCCTTTGATCAAACGCCGTGACCTTCTGTTCCATGTGTGTTGCTAAGTACAAATTATTGAATAAGCTATCAGGTTATGAAGATTCCAAGGGAACAGTTACATAGATGAGGAGAACTAGGCTCAGTCAATTTCTGAAAATGCCCCTGGATGGAACTTCTTGCATAATACTTCTATAGCTGAATCAATTTTTGCTTGCTTCTGCAACCAATTTTTATACAGCAATTAAGATTATATATAAAACCCATGTTTAGGGAGTTCTAAAGATGATTCCAAGTGATGAATTTTCTCTTACCTTGCCTTCAAAACTGACTATACGAGAACCATTTCTAGATTTGCGATAAACCCCTGTATATTGCAAAAGAAACATCAGAATGAGACAAGAATTATAGACACTATATCCTCACATCAGTCGTGCTAAGTTTTTAGAACCCTACCAATATTAATATCAGGGAATTCAAAGCAAAGTTTTGATAGAGGTTGAGCAATTTCCACCTGTATTTTATAGAAGAAATAAACAAAAAACAAGATGATATTACAAACAATAAAATATCAATATCAAATGCATCTACATTGACATTTTTGTACTTAAATGACACCAACTAATGAAAAACAAGAACTCTAGCATAGGTTATCAGTATTGCTCAATTGATCATACGTTGACTATGGAATAGTAGTTCCTAGGAACTGAGAAGTTGACTAATATTAGAGAGATTAAGTGAATTACTCGGGACAAGTTTTTTTTTTTTCAAAATATGCTCCCGATAACTCACTGCGTGCAAGACTTGTGAGAATCCTTAATATTCATTTCTAAACAATTCTCATATTCATATACCAAATTATTGTTCATGGGCCAAGAAATTTTGTGAAATTGGCTTAAGTATTGAAATAGTAGTATGGTACCATCATCTCAACAAAACCAGCAAGTAACTAAATTGGAGGAAACAGTTGAGTATATTTGTATTTGTGAATAATGAAAATGCTTCAACGTAACTAATCTAGCTCTACTCAAATGACAGCAGCGGAAATTGTGGACAGTAAGACAAGCAGTTAACTAAGCTTCAAATTCTACCATTAAATGCCATACAGCATGTCATACATGAAGAGCGCAAAACTGCAGAAGAATGAAGTAGAAATCTTAATACGTACGTCTGAAAGGTTTGTTGCCAAGTGTTTTGATACAAATGGTTCCATCATTGCTAGTAGGCCATAAGATCTTGTTGATTCAGTCAAACATGCCCATTCATTCTCCAGCTCGGCAATGTTTGTTGCAGCAAGAATGATTACATTCTGGCACTTAATCTAGAAAGAGATAGATCACTTGACAATTATTCAAGTAGCACCTCATAAATCATATTAATCGCATTGCTTAATAGGAATTAGGAAACTATAAAATTCACAAACTAAACATCAAGGTCAGCTTCCAAAACGCATACCATAGGGACTGGCAGCTTTTCATGATGCAGTAGATCAGTGATGCCTTCAGGCAACAAAGCCATCTGAAGAAAGGAAAGCCAAGGAAGAGATCAGAATATAGTTGCATAAACTGTACCTACTATATAATGCAAATGCACCACAATGATTGGATTGCATATTCAGTGCATTTTTCAGAAATGCAAAAAATGAAAGAGAACAGGCAGTTACAAACAACTATAGAAAAGAACAAGGTAAAAATGTCAATGAAACCTGAAAAGGGAAATAAAAACTATCCAATTAGAACGCAACCAAATAACCTAATCCAATACCTTGAACAAATTTGAAAGACAAGCATTTGTACCTTGAGAGATTTATCCTTTAATTCTTCACAAGATAATCAACCAATATTAAAAAAACGTCTTAAACTATGAAATATCCATTCCATATTAGTGTATTATTATCAAGAAAAAAAAATAAGAGGGCGTTGATGGCCTTGATCCAATCAAAAAACAAACTGAAGAGATCTCAATTGACTAGGCTTCTCTTCTTATATTTGCATTTTCTTGCGATAAAGGCACCAATATCTAGATTACCATTGCATCTACAAGTTGGTTTGACTTGCAAATTAAAGTTGTAAACAGCTGCTCTTTGTTGTATGAATCCAATAAACATTTGCCTAAACAAGTAAACATTAATTCTATATAAATGTATCCTTTCCATCAAAATTTTCTTCTTTGATGCTTATGCATGCACCGTTTTTTGCAATAAACATATGATATGACCTACTTACTCTATTCTTTATTCTATTGGTACCAAAATAATATAGATGTCAAAGTACCTCATTTCGATCGCCAGTGCAATGATCACCTATAAGATGCCTAAGATATTCTTCAAATTCTTCATCGGGAGCCTACATTCAACACAAACAATTGAGATATAGTCATAACAGATTATAACACCTGTACTAGACAAAACATCATATTAACAAACATTTGCAGATTGAGTAGTTGCCAGAAACTGACAGGCAGCTAGGTCCAGTTTTTTTCAAAGTCAGACATGATCAAATTTTTTAGCAAATAGCAGATAAAGAAAATTCTGGAAACTATGACATAGTGAAGCAGTAAATGAGACTGAATAGAGATTCAATATAGCTAAAACATGACCCTGATTTAGAAGAACAGAAAAGAGAAAAAGCTTCACTTTTAAACAAAAACACTCACCAGGCGAACCCCAAAAGCCTTTGCAACACCTGCTAAGGTAACATCAGAGAGCAATGGACCTACCCCTCCGTATATAAATACCTACAAGCATCAAGCACAGACCCTGTGATGCAGCAGATATTTAAAATGAAAGCGCTTGTTTTCTTGATTACATTACATCAGTTATGAAATCACTTTAATATATCAAGAGTAGCAGAATAGGAGTATTTACCATATCATTGGTAGATTTATGTTGCTCAACTTCTTCAGCCACAGAATCAATCTGGTGCAAAAAGTAAAAAAGATGGATTTTAAGATAAGGATAATCATGCAAATGTTAGAGCTCTATATGAGATACTGAATACATATAATAACGATGCTCGTATACATTTTTCTCATATAGAAGATAATTATATCAGCTTCACCCTGTAAAGACAGCATATAAACAGGTATACGACTTAATTATGTCAAGAACAAGCATATTTACAAAATGAGATTCCATAGATATTAACTCACATCATTTCGGACAATAGCAGTTTGTGATACTGACCAACCAATGGAATGGAGCTTTCTACACAAAGAAGGTCCCAATTGATCCTCAACAGTGCCAGACCTGAGCTATGGAACAGATGGAGAGCTGGAAACTTCAGCAATAAATAAAGAAGCATAATTAAATATTCAATAAATTTTGATAATTTTCACACTCCAGATTCTCAGTGCTTTTGTATTTCCCTGATTGAAAGATTGTAAATTGCAAACATTTCATGTTATGCTAGATAATCTGAAACTTTCTTTTTTTTCCTCCATAACACAAGTGAACAACAAAAGTCTCAAAACTGATATCATGCATCATGACTTACTTAACTAATTTGAAATGCTAATGTGTAAACTTAAAAAAGACATCAAATAGTTTTTAAAGTAATTATTGACCTAATGAAAATTTGACTCTAGAGAATCATATTATCAACCCAAAAACAAAAATTAACAAAAAACTATTTAATAAAACCAACTTGAAAATAAGGAGGTTATCCTCAAGTTGGAAATTTTTTTCAACAAATAGGCAAAGTTATATTGCAAATGAACCAACCTCATTGTTGCTTGAATTACTCGAATAAAAAATAGTAAATCCAAATAAATTTGAGGAAAGTACAACAACTAACAGAAGAATAGAATATGAAGCAAAGAAGAACCAATTAACTACAGGGGACTTACAGAATCTCATCCCCTACAGCAATCACTGAGGCTACAAGCGTACTGTTGTTATGTGAGTCCACACTGTCTGGGAGATCACTAACAGAAGGAAAACGCGTGTTCAAGGGAGAAGACAACTTTTTAACTCTTCCTGCTCTTTCTAATCTTCCGTCAGCAAGCAAATATGCAGGTTTAAATTTTTTCTTGCAACTGGAGTCATTGATACACAGCAATGAATTTGGTACAGTGTCATGTATGCTCCCTATTGAAGTATATCTGTGAAAGGAAAACCAAAAATATTGTAGATTATCAATGAAGTAGACCAGTTAGCATTTGGGTTGGACATGCACTAGACATTAATGAAGGAGTAAATTATAAAGTCAAGTGACATGCGCTGCACCTATAAAAGCCAAAAACCTAAAGAAAGCTAGAAACAAAAGGTATAAATATTTCAAAAGCCTCAGACGAAGAATTACCCCTGATCATAAAGGCTGCAATACTGGACTTTGCAGGTCAAAAGAAAGGCCCAAACATCCCTGTGAAAGGAACATATATGTTAGAATCCCAAAAGTTTCCCAGCTTGAATACGTAGCAATAAATAAAATGTCCACACTCAATCACAATAGAGATTTGAGAGAATAAAACATAATAAAAAGACAGCCAACACAGACGGAATTATCAATCTCAGCATGGCACTTGGTGGGATATAGTGGTGTTCTAGATTCCATAAAAATAAAGATGTGGGCTAACAACAGGTTTGAGTTTATCATTTAGAGAAACTAACAGGATAAAAATAAAAACAAACTAGAATATACATTCCTAAAACAGGATTAGAATTTTGTCCTTGTGGAACTGCAGAAAAATGTTCCCCAATGTTACTGGTTGACCATAATGGGAATTATATATAAACCCTAAAAACACAATTTGCATTAACAACAAACAAATTAACAACTCTTAGTTGAGAGGCTTTGTTTTCTGATGTTCAGATCAGAGAAAACTTAAAATAAAAGAAATTATAGTAAATTAGTTACACTTTCAACCCAATTCACCGCCTACGTGCCCAATTGTACAGCACAAGCACAATGAAAGAAGGATGTATCCTCAAATATTAATAATTACAACCAGTATTACAAAGTATTTGCATAGCCTTCCTTCTGCCTCTTGCAATTTCAGTAATGTTAAGCAACGTCTAGAATAAGTTCGTAACTACAAGCTCCATAGTTATAGTGGCTTCACAGAAACGGTGATATCAGGCAAAATACTTATCAGGAGTTCAATAATCATCAGAAAACACAAAGGACCAAGAACTAACATTTAATTCCTGTATTATATCCAAAGTTTGTTCGTGTTGGTAGACATGGAACAAAAAATAGAAATAGGGAGCAGAAAAAGGAAGGAAATAATTTATCAAAGGAGATACTATTGTATGAAGTTACACCTGTAAGACCAATCCAAGATAGGATTCACCCTCATAAAAGGTGGCCAACCAGGCGAACTAGGAGAGAACTGTTCTTGACCTACCTGCAAATTTAAAGGACTTTGGTTTATAGTCTCAAACATAAATAATTCTTCTAGAAAATGATCTTAAGGATAGAAATTATGTAGCTAAGGCATCCATACTCAAAGATAGGGCATCAAGCATACCGCTGTAGGGTCACCAATTCGAACACCAAGGAAAATAGCTCTAATGGGATTAGCCTTTAATAGATTTTCCAATCCAGATTTGAAATCTGAGCTGATGATATCCAGTTGCAAACCATAGCTGATCATACAAAGTACTTTAACTCTCAATAAAGAAATACATAAATAACTTCATTAAAACTATATGATTCAACATCCAAAATTCCTAACATAAAAGCGTTTACACGTCCTAGCAGAATTTTTTCAGAATATCTATCACTTGTACTTTCTACTTAGGATGGAACTAAAGAAAATAAAACCTTCTTACCTGGAGGCTGTATCATGGGTAAATGAATTGATTTCAGGGAAAGCAGAAGAACTTTCAAAATATATTGTTCGAATTGGGAAACTATTCAAACCCCCATTAGAACAGCTATGTCCCCCTTTATACAAAAAATAGCCAGCCCTAAGCAGATGCAGCAAAACCTGCAAATCCAAGTTTATGATCACTATCCATGAAAAGACAAGGGAAGGACTAATCAACAAAAATCAGATGAAAACCTACCGTTGAATCCTTTCCTCCATTAAAACTGAATGCAACCTCCTCAATACTGTAAGGAAAACAATTTTAGTGTTTCCAAACATCAGTATACCTCTTAGCAGAGAAAAAAAAGAAAGCATGGAACTGTGGCACTTCATAAAATATGCAGTAAGATTAACTATTTCCCACTTGGTATAACAGATGCAGGTATCTGAATTTCCCTGAATATAAAGTAATCAAAAATACAAGCAGCTCCTCCTTGTTAGTGACAAGAAGTTAGATACTTGTCTTCCTTAAGAATACAAAAAAAAAAAAAAAAAAAAAAAAATCTTCCTTAAGGAATACAAAAAAAAAAAAAAAAAAAAAAAAAAATCTATCCTTGTCAGAAAAGTAATGGTATTTCACTAAAAAAAAAAAAAAAAAAAAAAAAAAAAAAATCTATCCTTGTCATGAAAAGTAATGGTATTCACTGGGTATATGATGATAGAAAATGCAGTTACACACTCACTATTACCTACAACAAATAGAGTAAAATAAACATAGAGATGGAAGCTTCACAAAAGAAGATAGTCTGATGAGTTTAAAAACCTACGCTCATCCCACCAGACACCACATTTACAAAATTCCAAATTCTATATGCAACCTGGAAGGTACCAACGATTCTAAACTTTTTCATCAGTCCCTCATATGATATCATCATTATTAACCAGTAAACCAGTTATAAAACTTCTAAACTTTGAATAGACCAGTAATAATACTATATCTATATGTCTGCTTGCACAAACACAGTTAGTCAGATATTACGAAAATCAAATCTTTTATTAATTAATTAGTGAGTTACGTTATATGTCTATTAAGCCCCCAAATGAAATCTCATAAAAATTAAAGATTTAAAACACTAAGAGATTCTGTTCAATACTTATGTCAGAGAAAGAATCTTTATGGAAGAATATTTCCCAATAATATTTTTTTTCCTTCCACTAGAACGGAAAAATTTGTCTAGCCCCTTAGTCCTCCTACACGCAGAAATATAACCCCTTTATGATTCCAATGCCCAAAGCACCAACAACATGCAGCACAAACATTTAACCAAAGAATCCTAATAGGGAACACGACAATCCAAATAAGTGTGAGTGTTGAAATGAATGTTCAGTAGATCCAGAAAGAACAACAAAATGCCTTCATGCAAAAGTGTTTTTTTTTCCCACCATACTGGATACAGACAAGTAACAAATTCACAGATAATGCTCTTTTTTCATTGATATTATTAAATTGAACCACATCCATGCATAAAACTCTTCTTGAAGAAACTAACCGCAAAAGATAAATTGCACATATAAAATATTTAAAAGGAAAAAGAAAAATAAATCATGCTTAAAAACTTCTAAATGTATGAATGTCACTAAGTTATCCACAGTCAACTAATTCTGGATGCTAAAAGGGATCTAAACTGCTCGGAGAATTTTCAGTTATCTAAGATGATAAAAAAAGTGTTGAAACAGCAGACAGTCAGGCATTAATTTCATATCAAATGCATAGTTGGCAGCAAAATGCATAGAAATAAAGGCACTTAAATTCTCACTAACAGAACTTTTCTTTTTCTTCTACTTAATTCAATCTAATAAAAATACTTGTCTATGCTTTAGCAATTTCTTCATTTTCATAGAAGTAAAATAAAAACAATATATATTCTATACTCCATTCGTCTATCAAGTTCTTTTTGCCATCAAAAGCAGCTTTCTCTAATGCTTCTCCATAAATTTCAAAACCAAGACTATCAATTACAATCATCTTGTAAACAACAAATAATCAACTAAAACCCTGAAGGAGATAGAAAAGAAAAGAACTCACGAGTACAGAGCGAGAGCTCTTTGAATAATATGGATGGCATTGTTGTATTTGGTTTTGAGCCTTTTATCATCACTTTCTCCAATTGCTTTGTCGATCTCCATGCACTCTAACAAACATATAGATAAAAAAAATGCAAACCATGCGAATGGAGATTGATGAGTTGACAAGAATTTGACGTATTGCATAAAAAATAAACCGAAAAGCTTCTTCAAATTGAATTACAGCAAATTAAGCAACTGGGTTCCCATGAATTAATCAAGATTTATTGATTTTATATCAATTCCGAAATGAAATCACCTCCTAACTACAATGGACTCCAAAGACAAACAAAAAGTATGAGTCTTCAAGTTTCCTTCTTTTATTTTTTTAAGCTTCTGGGTTTTTGTTGAAATGGAAGCAAATGGAAGAGAGCGATGTTTTGGACCTTATAAAGGGTGAGAGGCGTGTTCTCCATAGATTGTTTATCTAAAGAAGCATAAAAAGAAATGGTGGGGATTTTCCTCTGTTTCTGTACTCATTTGCTTTGCATAAACACTTGTCTATACACACAAACAAAGTTTGTTAAAACGGAAATGTAACAGTAAAAATTATATATTTTTGGATTATTCTCCTTTAATTTTTGGATTTTTCCACATTAAATAGTTTTTACAATTAAAAAAAAAAAAGCTTTGAGAAATTTATAGCAAGGTCAATTCCGTTAACACAAAAAAATCGAGGATTAAAGGATCAATCTTAAATTAAATTGAGATTATAAACTTTTAATTGGGTTTTGAAATGTTTCCATTTCATGCCAAAATTGTTTACTTGTTTTTTTGTTATGATGTGACATTTCAAATTTTAATTCATATATTTTTGCACTAGATAGGTACCAATTGTCAATTTTCATTCTATCTTGTTAAGAGTTTTTTTTATAAAGTTAACTGTTTTAGCAGTTATTTCGATAGATTTTTATAAAATATTAAAAGAAAATTATTACAGTAGTTCAAATATTATGTTATTAAATAATATAAAAAAATACATTTAGTGTTTGACTGGAGGTTGGAGCTACTTAAAAAATTATTACCGAATACTGTCTAAATATATTTATTTTCTAATTAAATCTAAATAGTTTAATAAATATTATAAAAATGAAATGTTGGTCTATTTTAATTTTGCAAAATGAAAGCTAAATATCATCAAAAGCTTTTTGATTTGATTGAATTTTTAATTTTTGCTACTACAAATCTATATATATGAAAGCTAATATATCATCAAAAGCTTTTTGATTTGATTGAATTTTAATTTTTCTACTACAAATCTATATATTAATATATATATATAATATATATATATAATATATATATATATATATTATAATGTGGTACAAGAAATATATAATGTGGTACAAGAAATTATATAAATAGAAGGTAATTACCGTAATAGCCAATTTCTTGAAATTTGGAGTGGTTTTTGATGGCTTTGCATATATGAATATTTCATTTTTGTCAATCCTTTTCTTTATTTTATTTTGTTTTTCCTTAATGAGTCCATGTACAATGCTCATGACTTCATAATTAGCATTTCAATTATTTTTTTGAACTACAAGGGCATGCTCGGAAAATAACTTTTTGTTACCTATTTTAGTAACTTATAACTGTTTGAGTAGTTTTTAACCGTTTTAGTAATTTTTCGGTTATGTTTTTATAAAATACTACTTCAACCACTAAAAATTCATTTAAACGATATGTTATCGAATAATATAATAAATAGTTTTGATCTAAAAACTATTTGAAAAGCATTATCCAACACCGCCTAACTTCTTTAGAACAAAATTGAAAATTCAAATTCCAATTCTTATTCTACATTTCAAATCCCCAATTAAGTGGCAACCATTGTGCCTTATAGTGCAAAAGAAATTTCTTTGAAGAACCCAAATACAAGGAAAACATTGAAAATTCAATAACTCAACCTATAAGATACGTTTTGACTTTGACTACTCTCCTTTTCTATTATATAGTTTCATTCTTCTTTAGATTTTTCTTCTCCCTTTGGTTTCCAAGACTTTGTTTAATTGAATGGGAAAAAAATAATAATAAATAAAATACCCTTAATAGGTAAAGTATCTGAATGATCCTTAAAAGAATATCCAGCATGAAAAAAAAAAAAAAAAAAAAAAAAAAAAAAAAAAAAAAAAAAGTATCCAAATTGATTTTTTCAAGAATATTCAGTAATAAAAATATAAATCTTTTCAATTTCATATTCAATATTGAAATTAATTCTTAATCATTTAATTCAATAAGTTATTAATTCATATTCAATATTCAGAATTCAGTTGAACTAAATAACCTCTTATGGATAAATGTGTTTACGCTAACAAAGAGCTACCTTATTAATAATGTTATTAATCTAGTAATGTATGTGTATAAATAAAAATATTTATTTAAAGTGAAATTAATATAATTTTGGAATAATTATATTTTTAGTATCTGCGTCGTTTAAAATTTATATATATGAAAGAAAAACGTTTACAGATGAGTGTCTAAATTTATAAAATTTCCCAAATAAATGTACCTAAATGATTATATAGGAAAAATAGGAATCACTTTATTTTTCGAAGCAACTATCCACATGCACAAACCCTCACCTAAACAGCATATCACGTGCTTCGCACATGAAATTTTCAATGAAAAATTGCAACATTGCTCAATTAGCGTATTTTCTTTCTTAATCTTTTTAAGATTTGAAACAAAATATCATATCAAAATATATATATATATAAAAATAATAGATATAATTTTATAAATTAATATACTTAACGAGCCAAAATATAAATTAAAATTATCATAAAATTCTTTATGAAAAATAAAACTGATCTATTCATGAAAAGTTGAGAGTTAAAATAAACCCATGCAAATATGTTGTTGCATTCTTACTTGGACTGTTCCACCAAGCCCAAGCCCAAGCCCAAGCCCACTATTCTATAGGCCTTGGCCAGAAGGGTTGATATATACAACATAAAACATCTTCAACAAACATCTCAACAATATATATATATATATATATATATATATATATATAGATATATAGATATAATATTTGTGAGAAAAAAATTGGTAATAAACATGAGAAAATACATTCAATAAACTAAAAATAATCTCAAAAAATGAGAAATCTATCTAACAAAATGGTTTGATTCAGTTTATAGGAAATACTACAAAGTTTTATATATATATATATAGATATATAGATATATATATTTGTGAGAAAAAAATTGTAATAAACATGAGAAAATACATTCAATAAACTAAATAATCTCAAAAAATGAGAATCTATCTAACAAATGTTTGATTCAGTTTATAGAATCTACAAAGTTTGATATAATGTGAACCGATCAATTGCACGCCCCGTAGCAACAATGAAGATTTTGGAACTTTCTGAACCAGATAAAAATCGTGTAAGAAATATCCCTATTTCACAGTAACACTGATAGCGACTTCAGACCTTTTTGATATGATATCTTCGTATAGATATTTATAGGATAAGATACAAACTTGGAACCGAGATATCAGACATTCTTTTATAATAGCCCTGAAAAGGACAATCATAGAGAACGAAAGATGCAATCTAGAAAGGTGAGGTGTACACAAAACCAAAAAAGAAATGACCTTGTAAAAATCTGCAGAAACTGGGTACCTTGCCCCAGAAAAGCCCTCCCTGATTGACACTAAAATGCGCCGTAAAACATTATCGTTTCCATGGTTGACCACAAACAGCTTAAGGACGTGAGTATTCAGTAGATGCAGAAAAGGTTAGATGTATGTCTTACACAGATAAAATTAAACAAAAAAAGTCCTATTAAGAATATACAAGCATATGCAATGAAATTGTTATGTTATTATTAACTTAATATGCAAATGTTCTGTACAGATCCCTCTACTGGCACGACTGGTAGCTACATAAACCCTCGTCAATTTACTGCATACTCTACATATGTAATTTATTTACAGGAAAGGAGAAATGAGTTAGTAATGGATTTATACAACAGGATGGCAACAGAGCCATCAAAAGCATCCATTACCACAAACATTTCAGGTGTGCCAAATGTATAACGAGTCTCCATGTATCTCTTCAGTCTTTTTATCTCCTGCTACCAACTTCTTGCCCCATGGTTCAACTGTTCATGTTCAAGTCAACCTCACAAGAGCCATAAACGTAATGTAGACGTAGAAGTGGGACAGCTCTACCTTTACAATGATATACGTTCTGTAATTTACATTACATGCATATTGTGATACGGAGAAGTGTACTTCATAGGAGACCATAGCCAAATAAGAAAGAGTGATATCTAAACTTGTTCCTCAGTCCCAACCCATTAGCATATTCCGAACTCCTTCCTCAATTTTGCTTCTTGGGACAGACAAACTGTCCCCTTCATCGAGTAAGACTCTATACACTTCAAATTCTCGATCTCCAATCATGCGCCTCCTAATCTCAGCCTGGAAAGACAAATAACATATATCATATTTGCTAAGGCAAAGAGGAAGAGTTAATGAACTACCTGGACAAACTACATCTCAGAGAGAGAATAATAATTGCATATGTTCACACGATCTCACCATGGTAAGTTTTGTCAACCTCATAACCGCAGTAAATATCTCATTTTAACAAAAACAATTCTGCCCATAGGTTATGCAAGGGAAAAAGCAATATATAGAAAACATTGCATAAACCATCTGAGCTTACTCTGTAAGCAATTATCACCTACCGAAAAAATGCAAGTGTTGAGCATCTTGAGAGCAAGTGTGATATCATGAAATACAAGAGGCCTGCCCTTGCCAGATAACTCCACAGGATTTGCCACTAGCAGCTCTGTGTCAGGACCGCGGCTCACAACAGCTACTCTGATAGGACGCAATAGTTCCATCTTCAGACGAGAGAGCAATGCTCTCTGCTTGCTTGGGTCAACTATCTTCTTTCCATCAGCTTGAACAATAAACAAGTCTATCTCACAGTTTCTTCTTTGTATTATTGAGTAGCGCCCATAAGAAATCTAGTTATAGAAGCCATAACATAATTCATTATTGCCATCACTTGTTTGTGATATAGTTCAATATTGCTACCCCTAGTTTGTGCAAAGAAAGTTGGTTCAGTACTTCAGTCAAAACATGAGAGTAACAACCCATGCAATTTCTTCCACAAAGAGCATTTGAATGAGACAGTTATCTTTCTTAAAGTCCATGGCATAGATAAACATTATTTTAGTAAAATATTACACTGTTAACTATCTACCTTTATATTGTAATCCTTCAGGGTTCGCATTATGTCATAAAGGACACCTTTGTGATCTTGGCATGCAACTTGGACAAGCGTGTGAGCGGGGCTCAGTGAGTTGTCCATTGTGACAGAAACACCAGTGGAAGTTTGTGAGCCTGAGAGTTCATCAGGAATTTCCAAGTTAAGTATGTCTTCTGTGATTGTAGTTGGAAGAAATGAAGATTCCTGTGAACATGCTGTGATTTCAGAGCCAACTGTTTCTATGTCACAGCTTATCAAGGCATCTCCCATAACAGCTCTTAAATGCTCGTAAGTATCTTCCTTTCTCTTATTTGTATGCAGAAGCTCCCTGAGCAAGGCAAGGCATTAAGGCGTAATACTTTTGGAAGAAGAGAATTGCAAGCTCAATTTTCTATAATGCATAATGGGGTTGTAAATTATCATTCAAAATCTTTTAGAACTCTATGTGATTAACACAAGATTTGAACCGAAAAAACTGGTACGCAATATGGTTTCAAGGGAAAGATGCAGTTGTAATGATAAATTCAAGGAACCCATTATTACAGGATGATAGTATAACTTGTCAATCTAGTGGACTAACCGAGTCAGCCACAGCCATCACATCATATATATATATATATATTTTGGTAGAAAGAGGAGGTGTAATCCCTCATCGGACTGTATTGGCCTCTCCCAGCAAGTGTGTTTCCCGGGTATCAAACTTGCGTTCTCACGCTTTGTTACAGGTAAAAAACAAACCCCTTTTAATGCATTGTGAAATTGCATTCTAATCTTATTGGAATCTAGAATGTTCATAGTCAATTCAAAGCAATCATGTGAATGTTATTTAAAGAGCATAATACAAAAACCATTAAAACATCAATAACTTCATTGACAGTCAACTGAACTACCATGAGCATGAGAAGAGATGTGGTAAAATGCAAAACCTGATGTCTGTAACGAAGAAAAGGTCCATCACCCTGCCGTCTGGTGTTGTGGATACCTTTACTTTTTTTATAGTGAGTTCAAGCTCACAAAGCACCTCAGTTACATCTGCCAAAAGAAACCCTCCAAATATGAATCACTCGCAAAGGTCAGGAAGCATATATTCTACACTCAAACATCCAAATCAGAAGGGGAAAGGTGAGTATCATTCAACTGTATACCTTCCATTCATACTCCTTAAGATGCTAAATCCAAAGAAAATTAATTGAAGAAAACTTGGAAAATCTCACAAAAAGCTACGGCTAGTAGCTGATTATGGAGAGATTAATCTCTAATTTTTATCTGTTCTTTTCACATGAATTTTCAGCAGTCATGCATAGCAGAATGAAGGATGAAAAGCAATGAGAAAACAAACAATAAACCAGAGCCCACCATGAAAATCGCTTTGGCAATACATACATAAAAATGAACAGAAAAAACTAGAAAAACAAAGAAAATATAACCAGAAAGAGAAATTAATTAACAAAACAAGGCAATCCATAAACAAGTATTGGTTCACAAGACAGAGAATACAAAGAGAATTATTACTGTGTAAAAGCCCTTTTCGGTCATGACAGCACAACTTCAAGAGGAAGACATCAGGAGGCCTTGGAGGTTGCTGCAATTCTGGACGGTAATAAGAAATCCCAGAAGCTGAAGAGCAGGATGGGCATACTTCTAATAGCCTCTTCTTCAATAGACTCCATCTAGTTGATGAATTGCCACCCACCCAAAAAATTACATAACACCATTTTCCATCCGTAGATATATCTTCACCAAAACAAAATCCCATATACAAAAATCAAAGTAAGACTTCAATCCCACAGCTTTTTACACAAATTTTGATAAAGAAAGAAAATATAACTACCAATCTTTTCTTTCAGAAACACATCAATTTTTCCGCAAAACAGGAAAGTGGAATCATGCAGAAAGAGTCCATGCTCTAGCTTACCTCCTTTAACGATATTTAGGCCAAAGAAAAGTATGATGCGACATAAATCACAACCCAGCCCAGTTTTGTCAGGGCAATTTACAGTGATAAGACTCAAGTCACTTTCTTTTTCTGCTTGCCTGATGATCACAACGTCCTCGAGTAAAATACCCATGTCTGTGTTTTCCTCCTTGACCAGCAAGATTGGAGCTTTTTTTTTCTTTTTTGCGTGTGCCTGAACAAAGATACGTGCTTGTTGGTCTATGCTCTGCAAGTTGTTTTTGCTGGTTGTGTGGTTGGTGTACAGAGAAAAGTTTAGATACAGAAAAATCAGTAGAAGCCGAGAGAGAAGAGAGAGAGGGTAGTAGTTGTATCTTTGCTTCTGATTCACTTGTTGCCGTTGCTGTTTGTTTGCTTATTTATCTGTTTTCTTTTTTTATTCATTTTTCTTTCTCTTTCTCCTGTTTGGTGACTGTGAAGCTGCTGGCGACGGAAGCAAAGGTCCGCATGGATCAACGCTAGCCTAAATGAGACATTGGAGACGAAATAATGACATTTAACGAGAACTTTGCAACTTGCTATCATTAGCTTTTACAGTTCCCTTCGCTCATGTTGCATGATTAATAATAATAATAATAATAATAATAACTAGAGTAATCTATTTGTAATTCTTAGAATTAACAAGTAGATATTGCTATTTATTTTATTAACGAAAAAAAAGTTAAATTTTCTTTTGGAGTAAAAAAAATTTTAAATTTTGATGTCAAATTATTGGAAAATTATTTTTGATAATTTTTTTTAGCATTAGTGATTGATTCACTTTTATCATACAACATAAATTCAAATATCATTATAAATCCGGCCTTAAAAATGATAAAAATAAATGAATTTATAAAATAAATTAAATTGATTTACCAAATTTGGAATTATCCAAATTTGTTAACAAGTTATTTTATGATTAGATTTATAATTGTTACCATTAGCATAATTGTCCAAGCAAATTATCATTAATTATATCTATAGTTAGGACTTTTCGAATCTTACTATAAGTCTAAGTTCTGCACATGCTCCAATTATGTTCATAACTAGAAAACTACAATCGACTTAGATTATATTTGTAATAACACTACAATCCAAATACGACTCATATCCTGTATGCAAATAATTAAGATTATTCTCTTATACTACATATTTGACCTTCGAATTTTCATTGAATTATTGCTTTCAAACTGAATCCTTTCATACTAATATGATAATAATCTATACCTTCACACGTAATAATTTAAAATTGAATTTATGTTTAATATAAAATATCTTAAATCATTTGATTATTTTACTTTTTTTATTATAAATCATACTATTTTTATATTTAATTAACGTGAATTAATCCATACACATTTAGAAATTAGCATTTCATTAATTAAGCGAATCAAATTGAATTCACTCAATGTCAATTTAACCGATATCATTTTTATGGTAATCAAATCCAAAATTGAATAGTTTAAAAATATCGAGTAAAATTGAATTGAAAATTAAATTTAAATCAAGTTATTTAAAAATCAAATTAGTTATTTTGAACACAAAAATAAATTTAATTAATTATAAATAAATAATTAAAGCCAAACATAAACTATTTTGTATTACCAAATTCATTTGTTGACTAAAATTTTAAAATATCTAATTTTAGATCACAATATATTGATTTTGATTCCCCTAAACACATCTACAATATTTTTATTTTAGTCTAAAAAGTACACTAATATCATGTTTTATAATTTTTTTTTTATTTATGACGCCTCCTTGTCTAAAAAGCCCAAGAAAAAAACGAAACAGTCTGGCGTGGCACTTACTCGCCAACATTATCGGACTTTGTTTAAGAAAATAAAATATCGGCTCACACTTGGAAGTCCAACCATTGAACTCGTTTACGGAGAAGTTGGAACTTAAATATACCCCAAAATATCGTATGATATATAAAACTGGCGAGACATGTCTATTGAAGTTCACTCGTACGTGACAGCCGCCATCACGTGTCTTATTTTGTGGATGCGTGGATGGCCTCTCACGTGCTTGGCGGACAATTAATTAAATAAAATTCCATTTGCCAATTTTCTTTTTATTTAGCCCTTTTCCACTTCATCTCTATACTCGTGGTTAGGGTGTAAATGTGAAAAGCGTCGCGGAGTTGGTAGAGGCTCAATGAAAACTCTATGAAGCCAGAGCTGAGCTGTTGCGCTTGTTTAATAAATTAAATAAGTCGAGTTTGAGCTTAATTTTAATTTGTGAGCCAATTTTATTAAATTTAGCTCCGAAATTAATTCTATCGATTTTATAAATTAATTTATTAAGTTAAATATATATTAAAATAACGTCATTTTAATTTGATAGATTTTGAGTTTGAACTCGACTCGTTTATAGTTATCGAGATGAGCTCAATACTCATGTTGCTACTCGAAAAATAGTTTATTATCATTAATTTATTCACTTATTTGTGAATTTTACTTATATTAAAATCATAGTGAAAGTAAAAGCATTGTCCGCATGTATTACTAATTAATATAAGTTTAAACTACAAGTCTTTAATAAATCAAGTCTTTAAAGTATATATTACTTAATTCATCTAAGTTACATCAAACTTTTTAAAAAAAATATATGTTTGGAAAAGGGAATAAGGTAACTCCATGGGCATTTTATATCAATGTCATGAAGCTTGGTGGCACTAATAATTCAATTTTTTAATTTAAATTTAGATGGTTGAGAATGACTTGAATCTTCAAAAAAGAATATACTAATATGACTATGAAAGAGAGAGCATTGGCATCTTCAAGAATCGTGAAACTTGGAACTAAAGTTAGGCCGCCAATGTTAGATTAGTTCAGTGCTTGCACTGCAAATGGTGTCTCAGTTGCTTGCCTTATTAAAAACACAACATGTTGAGCCATTACCGGGGAAGCCACCACGTAAGGGTAGCCAGGTTCCAAAAAATTTAGAACCAAGACCGAACCGAAAATTAATGATTTTGATTACGGTTTGAAATCGAATAGTTTCGGTTCTGATTTCGGTTCCTCAATGGTTCTAAAATCGACGGTTCCGACCGATTTTTCGGCAGATTTTTCGACGGTTCCTGTCAATTTCGGACTGTTTCTGGCCGTTTCGGCTCCAAAAACCGGATTTTGGCCACCCTTACCACCACGTGCTTTCAAAGTCCAAATTTTATTTTGTGGTTGGTTGCAGGGGAGCAATTTTCTGTTTCTAATCGAAAATCGATTTAATTCGATCAGATTCAAATAATCGTTTTAAAAAATCAGTTATAAATCAATTTTGATATAGAATTGATTGATTTTCAATTTTTAGTTCTGCTACCATATATAATTAACTAAATATATTTTAATTTATGATAACTAATTTGATTTGAAATAATTGAGTTAAGTTGATTTAATTCGATTTAAATCGGTTATTATACCATTCGATTTTGAATTTGATAAACTGAAACCGAGTTAATTCAATTTGATTTGATTTAATTAACCAAATGTTCACTCATAATGGCTCGATTTGGTTTAACAAAATGGTCACCTCTAGTGGCTCAGTTTGAAGAAATTTTAGTGATGAAATTTAAATATTTTATAAATTTATTAAATTTTTTTGTTTAAGTAAAAAATAAATAATGCTAATGTGGAATTAATAAATTTTATCATTATCATCTCAATTTTACTATGTTGAAGCGCTTAATTCATATATATTTTTTTTATTAATGATAGAGTTTTATTTTATTTTAAAATACTCTTTAAAATTTTCAAAGAATTTATTTTCCAATCAAAGAACAAAACGTGAAATTTCATAATTTTTTATAATATCGACTGATTTCACATCTGATTAATCCAAATGACCATTTTATTATTTTATTATTATTATTTTTTTGTTGTTTAGTAAAGTAAAAGATAGAAGGGTCCACATCCAATGGGCCAATTTGCCATGACCTTGAAAAGCTATTTGGGCTTGACTTGGTGGCCTAAGATAAGCCTGTCTCATTAGGGTGCAACAAAGCTAACGGTTCTGATGAACCCACGTTTCTCCTACAATTTTGGATTTTTACATGAAGAGGTCAAATGCAAAAATCATTTTAGGATTTCTGATAATTAAAGCTGATTGAGACTTTAAAAACTGTGTTGCTAGAGACATCAAACTTTTTAACTTTTAAACATTAATTTAGACAGCTGACCCTATTGATAAGTATACATATTGGTTATATTTTCCTATTATGTTCACATTCTATGTCCCTTACGCTTTGCATGAAAGGGTGAGAAAAAAAAATAAAATAGGAAAATAATGAAATATTGTACTATTTAATTTTCCTTTTATTTTTCAATCGTATTTAAATTATATAACCTTTCTTTTATAAATATTAGTTATTATAATAGTGTGCGATATATGTTAACTATACTCATTATTATAATTATAATTTTAACAACAGCGATTTTAAATTTTAAACTTTTAATATCATAGTGATAATATTGTTTATAATTATTATAATTTTATAATTATATGTATTTTGTGATTTTAAATTTTAAACTAAATTTTGTTTAAAAATACTAAATTTAGTTCCAATAACTATGGGTAAAATCACCATATCCTTACATCATTGATACTACAGTAAAATGAAGAAATGAAGAAATATTTTAACTAATTTTGTATTAGTGTTGTTGTCGGTTATTAGGGTTCATGTCTACTTTTGGCAGAGGAAGATTGATTAAGACAAGTTAAATAAGTGGACGGTTGTGAAGTGATATATTAAAGAAAGGATTATTGTCTAAGCAGCCTTAATAAAAAAAGAGAAATTGTGTATTTTAGGTCACAAGTGACGGTAAATGAAGCCTGCCTTAGCGTAATGGCTGAGGTGGAGGTCTCATGTTCAAATGTTCGTCCCCCAATAATTACTCTGTAACTGAATTCTGCTACTCATGGATTAATAGGTCATAGGTTCAATTTCCGTCCTATTAATAAGTACTTTATAATTGTATTCTACCCCTTACGGGTTGAATTATCCTTAAATTTAGGGTTTTCAGAATACAAAAATCGATTTAGAGTAAGATTGCAACAATTCTGAAAATTTCGGATGAAATTAAATATTAGCTCAAAAGTGCTTTGCACATGTTCGGTATCAACAAAGTAAAATTCTAAATCTGAACGATGATAGCTCAGTGGTAAAGAATAATTGCAGGATTGATCACTATAACTTGAATTATGAGTTCAATATTTCAAAATACAACATTCCTCGGGCTAGCTCTATTGCCTTTAAAGGTGAGCGATGATTAATCAGATTTACTGTGTATGGGTATAAGATAATTAAGAGTTGATTATGAACTAGCAATCGACGAACATTGACTTGTAGAAGATGTGGAGCGTGTATGATGGCCAATATTTACATGCGTTTAGAATAGTAGTTTTAATTTTAAAATAGGTTGGTGAATATAAAATAGACATGGTCGGTCCATTTACAATAACAAATACCAATTGATATTTATTTAAGATTTGCTTAGTGCTTATTGTGGATTCTATAAATTGACTAGATTGAACAAGTGGGGGACTTATGTTTTATTTTTATATATGTTGTTCATATTAATGATGGTGAACTTGAATAGGTTTACTGAAAAAAAAAAAAAAAAAAAAAAACCTATTGCCTTTAAAGAGGAGCGATGATTAATCAGATTACTGTTGTATGGGTATAAGATAAATTAAGAGTTGACTTATGAACTTAGCAATCGACGAAACATTGACTTATGTTAGAAGATGTGGAGAGCGTGTATTGATGGGCAATATTTACATGCGGTTTATAGAATAGTAGTTTTTAATTTTTAAAAATAGGTTGGTGAATATAAAATAGACATGTCGGGTCCATTTACAATAACAAATACCATTGATATTTATTTAAGATTTGCTTATGTGCTTATTGTGGATTCTTATAAATTGACTAGATTGAACAACAGTGGTGGGGACTTTATGTTTTATTTTTATATATGTTGTTCATATTAATGATGGTGAACTTGAATAAGGTTTACTTGAAAAAAAAAAAAAAAAAAAAACCATAACATGGAAAAAAAAAAAAAAAAAAAAAAAAACCATAACATGGATTCAAAATATAATATGATTCATTATACTGTACACAAAAGTTTCCTTGGGCTTTCAATAAGCCAGATTTTGTCAAAACTTGTAGTTTCTTGGGCTTTCAATTGGCCACATGGGCTTTCAGAGAAAGATCCAACTAATTTACTTTATTTTCTGTCCAGTGACAAACGTTTCAGAAGTTTAATATACAACTCCAAATTAATTATAGCTTAAAGAGTTTTTAAGCTATAGACAAATAAATTTAAGGTTTCAGAATTTTGTTTTGATTTGCAAATTTAGATAGACATGCAATATTATTGATTTAGGGTTTCAAACTTGATATTTCACTTCTCTTTGCATTTCTGTAGTAGTCATCATTAACATTAATATCTTAATAATTTAATAATATTGAGACATCCAACCATAAATTTGTAGACAGTACCATATTATATTACTGTATCATATTTATTCATACATTAACAGATTCAAATGCGAATACGATCCGACGATGGATACAGTTACTAATTTCCTCTATCAGTGCTCATTAAAAAAAAAAAAAAAAAAAAAAAAAAAAACTAATTATATCAATACTGCAAAAAAAAAAAAAAAAAAACTAAATTATTATCAATACTGCACAATTTTATCCGTCTTCATGTCCCACAAGCTGATCAATCTGAAGTTCTTTCTATTATTTTAACTGGCAACCCACCTTTAATCCTAAGAGTCAAAGATAGTAAATGCTCTGGACACTTGTCTTTCTTCTGCACATCAATTTGAAACCTCTCTATAACTGATGCTGCTATAGATTTCATCTGGATATAAGCTAAATCTTTCCCAAGACACATTCTTGGCCCCGCATGAAACACAGGAAACCTAAAAGGATTTTCTTGCCTACAAATCCCATCTTCCTGTACCCATCTTTCAGGCACAAAATCATAGCAATTCTTTCCCCATAAACACTCCATTCTTCCCATTGCATAAGCACTGTATGTCATAAACCAATTCTTTCCTATAAAAGTGCCATCTGGCAGAATATCATCATTCTTGCAAGCTTTTGTATCCACTGGCACCGGAGGATACAATCTTAATGTCTCTGAAATTGCCGCATGTAAGTAATGCATGTCTCGCAGTTCTTCGAAATTATATAAATCCCCGATGTTTTTCCCACTCTAATGGATTTAAGCTCGTTTAATATTTTTCTTTCTACATGTGGGTTTAAAGATAATTGCCAAAAGAACCAGCTTAAAGCAGAAGAAGTTGTGTCTCGGCCTGCGAGAATGAAGCTTATAATAATATCTCGGAGAAATTCCGGCGAATTATCGTCGTTTCTGATGAATCGGGAGAGTAAATCTTCGTCTTTCATTTTCTGTGCCATTCTTGATTCTACAATCTGATCTGCAAATTCATGGACGATTTTAATCGACCTTTTGGGTTTTTTCTCTGTTCCTAAGTTGAAAAACTTTTTAATTTCCAATAACCATCGAAATGCATACAAGAACCTTCCAGAACTAAGCGTTGCAGCTTCATCAAAAGCTTGCATAAACTCTCCGCCAGTAGTTCCATCTTCGCCAAGACAACCGGGATCAACGTTAAACGCAAGTTTACATATATTATCAAACGCAAATCTCTCCAATATATCTTGCAAGTCCAATTCTTGATTCTTTCTTGACGCTCTTGAAAGAATTGGAAATAATCTTTTTGAAATTTCAACCTTAACATTATCCACAACGAAATTTCTAAGTGATTTTGTACTGAATTCGTAGCTTGTAGTCTTTCTTTGAACTCTCCATAGCTCGCCATCGGAGTTAAAGATTCCTCTACCGAGAAAATCTTCAAGAAGATATAGAAACCTGTCGCCTTTTGGGTAGTTATCGAAGTTGGTCTTGAGAATATATTCAATGTTTAAAGGGTTTGCTGTGATGACTCCATGGATGTTTCCAGGACGGTGAAAAACGGCAGTGTTAGAGGGACAGCGTTGGAGTATTTCGGTGCTCCAGTCAAGAAAACGATGTCGGTTTTTCAAGAGATCAGGTAAAATGCCTAATACAGGGTAATTTGTGAAGCCATAGTTGGTGGTGGGTTTGTTTAATGATGTATAAAGAAGGTGGAAGTAGAGACAGAGGGAAATAAGGGAAAGAAAAAGAAGAAACAGAAGGGATAAGAGTTCCATTGTTAAAGACAGAAGGAAAACGAAAGGACTGGTATATTAAGGCTTAGAAAGGTTACTATTTGCTGAGTGATAAGGTTTGTAATTATATCATGGTTTGTTGTGTATCGTTTTTGCAATTACTTTAAGGTTCAAAGTAACTGCGATCCACGGCGTACATAAATGGAAACATTGAGCAGTTTTTTTCTTTTGGTAAAGGAAATCTTTAATCAGCGATGAAAGAAAAAAAAAAAGATTATGGACGTTAAAGGCCCCACTCTATCGCTAGTCGCGTTTAGCGATTAGCAGTTAGGGGTTTGGTTTCTTTCCCGGAGAACTTCTTTAAAGTAAAGGAAGGTCCCACTCTATGATTCTTTTCTTATTCTGGTTTCTTTGCCGGAGAACTTCTTTAAAGTAAAGGAAGGTCACTCTATTGTTTCTTTTCTTAATTCTGGTTTCTTTGCGGAAGGGAAACTATCTTTAAAGCTAAAGGAAGTTCCCACCTCCATCGCTAGTTCGCGTTAAGCGATAGCAGGTTACTATGAAACTTCTTTAAAGTAAAGGAAGGTCCCACTCTATGATTCTTTTCTTATTCTGGTTTCTTTGCCGGAGAACTTCTTTAAAGTAAAGGAAGGTCCCACTCTATGATTCTTTTCTTATTCTGGTTTCTTTGCCGGAGAACTTCTTTAAAGTAAAGGAAGGTCCCACTCCATCGCTAGTCGCGTTTAGCGATTAGCAGTTAGGGGCGTATGAATCTTTTCTTAACCTGGTTTCTTTCCCAGAGAACTTCTTTAAAGTAAAGGAAGGCCAATGACCAGAGCTATCACCATCACAAAGACTTTCAGTCTTTGCCTCGCTTGACCTGCACCCGCTAACCGACAACTGAGTTTAGTCAGCTAATGGCGGAGCCTCTGCCATACGAAATCTACGAGGACGAGGAGGGTTTTATTCCGATTAGAAACTCGCCAATTAGGTCGTTAGGCAACGGAGCTCCGAATTCTGGTCCAGTTAGTGTCGAAGAAGAGAACAGTAAGCGGAGAAGAGTACAACGAGAAGTAGAGACGCGCTCTTTGATTGGTGAGGAGAACGCAGAAAGCTCTCAGGGGAAAGAGTGGAATCGGACTGAAATTGATGGCCATTTTTGCCCAATTTGCATGGATGCTTGGACAAGTGAGGGCGACCATCATATCTGGTGCTTGTCGAAACCTGTCTTTCTTATAATCATGTGTTCTAGGGAATTTCTTTTCAAATTTGAATTTGACTGTAATGTACCGACATTTATTTATTTAATTAATTCATTAATTGCATTTTTCGAGGAATTCAGTTGTCTTCCTTGCGGGCACCTATTTGGATTGTCTTGCATCAGTAAATGGTTGAAACAAGAACGAAGTTCCGCGAAGGTATTGGTTAACGTACCGTTTTTTTTTTTTGGGTGTCTTTGCCTCTTTGCTTGACTTTTGTGTTTCCCATTTCAGTGCCCTCAATGCAACAGGAAATCTACTTTGAAGGATATTAGGAAACTTTTTGCTCCAAGGATTGCTGTGGTTGATGAAGAATCACAAAAGGTACTGCTAATTCTCATGAACTAGTTACTTTTAGAATAAAATCTCGAGAAAATGACTTTTTTTTTTTTTTTTGGGCAGACAATTCGATCCCTAGAGGTCAAATGTGCTGCTCTTGAGAAGAAGGTTGGATATTTACTGGCTCAAACAGAAATAGATGGATGCCTGGTCTGTCTTATTTTTTTATTTTTTTAAGAGACAAAGAAGATTTGTTCAAGTTTACTGTTTGCTGCCTTATTCATGAAGGAAAGTATTATCCTTGAGGCACTAGTATGTGTTTCTCCTGTACTACTACCAAACCAATGCTTGATTTTCTGCTTGCACATGCAGGATGATGATTGGCGCCGAAAAGAATCAGAATGGCAAAGGCGAGAAGCTGGGTTGCAACTTAAAGTTAAACAGCTTACAGAGGTATACTTAAAAGTTATATCCTTTTCCTTGTTTCAAAGCAATAACATTCCTATACTTTTGCCCTTTACTCCTTCACTTTAGACTACAGTTAGTTGTTAGGTTTGGAGGTATACTTAAAGTTATATCCTTTTACACCTTCACTGATCATTGTGAGGTTTGGAGTTTGGCACTTATTGTGAATTGGTCATTAGGCATTATGCTTAAGCACTAGCAGTTTATGATTATATCCTTGAGTTCTTTGCGCCCTCAAGACCACATTGTATTCTTTTTGCTAGCTGCTTATTTTCCTTGTTGGGTTTCACATCATTTTATCAAGTCATAAGAATTACCGATACAGAATATTATATTTGAAAATCATGTGCATCTTAAGTGCGCAGTCAGTATAAATGAAATAACTGTTCTCTGAGAGTGTTATATGTGAAAACTTAGAACTGGGTTTCATGTGTGGAATCTCATTTTTTTGGTTTTGATATTCAAACTTTTGACTTTGTAGAGGATAGCTTATTTGGAGCATGTATTAGAAGATTTGCAGAGCAAGTCAAATGTAGTCGCTGCTACTAGGAACTGTAAAGGACAATTCGTACCTGGTAATTAACTTTTCTGATGCTAGATCTTCGTGTTACTTTTCATTTCTTTTCCAATATTTCATTATTTGTACCCACCATTTAATGACAATCCAAGCAATGAATTTGTGGTATTGGTTGCCTTTTTTTTTCTTTTTCATTTTCTTTTCCTCTCCTGTCTATATATATTTGTTTCCTTTTTTTCTTTTTTTTTTTTTTTCAAAGGTTAATTTTCTAATATTAGGATGAAACAAAACCATGTTATGCACCCACTCGGTCTTTGTTTTCCCTCTGAACTAATATACCACTTTTGTTCTTACTGTCTGTTTTTAAGGAAATACCAACTCAGAGTTCTGCAGCCAACGATCTTCTTGCAGTTTTGTTTTAGAGGTATGGATACTTTGTCCAGCAACTATTTTCTCTTCTCTCTACCTATACATTTACATCTGACTAAATTTCTATAACATGTATGTCGCCAGTCTAGTACCTAAACCTTTATATTCTTACATTAATAAGAGTTGTATGCTTCTTGATAATATAAGTTCTGGTTGAATCACATTTTCTGATCTTTTAAGGTGAGTCAGAGAACTCCTTCAAAATAGAAATTCACTGCTCAAAGAAAGTTAGGATGAAGGACATATAAATTAAATTTGAAGACTAGCATCCTGCTTACCTCCATACTTAAGGGTTCAGGGGCTTTGATCCTCGGGGCAGTGCTTGACTTAATATATCTTAAAAACCACATGAGTAGGCACATACATCTATCTTCTGCCATCAGTTATAAACGATGGAGCGGGAATATGACCGAAAGATGGTATAGGTCCACAATGGAAAGACTAAATCCAAGCAAGCTTTGTTAGACTGAATATTTTTCTAACCATTGTGAGCATTACACAGAATTCTGTGCATTAAACACCCAGCGATTTCATGTGCTTTTTCAGTAATTCAATATTTCAGTAAAGTGGAAATACAAGATTCAATCCTTTGCATTTCTTTTCTAATGTATAGATAAATAAATATATTAATAGAAATGCTGGCATTATGCTACTTTAACTATGATTATGATCCTTGATATATAGAAGTTAATAGCCGCCGTAGTCAGACAGGCAGAGAATGAACTAAATATTCACTTTTTACGGGCAGTCTCTGGATTAGGCCAGCTTTTTATTTTTTATCAAAGCATGAATTTACTCTTATGAAGATGCAGTATGTTACTGCAAAATTGCAAAAGCTTTGTTTGATGTCACAAAATAAATCTTTGAATTAATCATTACAATTTCAAAGTTGTTTCCAGAAAAAGTTGCTCGTGGATGGGGCACGATTATTTGAAATAGATGCTTTTGGTCAAATTGTATTACTTGCTCGACGGCCGCCTAAGCTTGGTGGATCACATGTGCTTACCAAAGTAACGTTTCTGACTTGTGCTCCTACTCAAATTTTGCTTCTAATATTTTTTACTTAAAAATGCTCTGACATTTTTTCTTTAATGATATTTTGCAGATGGAATTGCGATCTCCTCATGAAAGTGAAGATATTTTTATTCCTTCTAGCATGAACATCATAAAGGACTTGCATATTTCTCCTTTTAATGGAAGTCATTTACTTTGTGCTTCGTTAGGCAAGAAGCTGTCAATTCTCAGGTAATGCTACTGGCTACACTTCTTATATGATTCACTTTCTGCTTTATGTTCCCCCAAAACCTTATTTGGTTGTCTTGTTTGATACAGTATGGAAAGCAACAATTTCATCCTTTCCTATGATTTACCAGTAAGTGTCAAATCTAGTATCTAAGACACTGTTTAATTAGATCTTGTGATATAATATTAAGATCTCCTATGCCTATCCTTGGACGGGACTACTATTTTTGCTAATTTTGTGAGCTAATCTTTTTGAAATAATGGGTCCTGTGGATGTGGATGGAAGCATCTGTATATTTGAATATTTGTAATAAAAATATATAGAAAATTACTAAATGTCTCTAATAGAAATTGAAATCATTGTTTTTGCTTCCTCTTAATAGTCCAGGCTTTCCATTTTTGCCTGGAAAGTTAAGCTTGAGCCCACAATACAAACTGGATCAAATTTCATAGAACTGCTTGGTTGGGCCCTCAACCCCAACAATAATTCTAATCAAAGTATCCAATGTGGAATTTGCAGTGTTAGTTTTTTCAAAATTTTATCACAATTTGAAGTTTATTTTTTTGATAAACACTAGGAGACATGTCTTGGTGATTATTTATTAGGGCCTCTCTCTCATAATCCACCATACTCCCAGACAGACTGATGCTGAATGATAATTTTCACATTGTCTTATGCATGATGCCATTGTTACTAAAATAATAGGATACATGCTATCTGTTTTTTAGTATTTAGTGAGTTTTCTCCGTATTGACATCCTAATTTACAGGCTGCTGCATGGTCATGTTCATGGGATCTTAACAGTTCACATTACATATATGCTGGACTACAGGTCTGATCATTGAGTGAATATTGTTTATCGCGATATTCTAAGTTTCTTGTGTTGAACTTCTTGCTTCCCTCCTTGCAGAATGGCTTGCTTTTGGCATTTGATATACGTCAAACTGGGAGGCCAGTAGAATCCAGGTTGGGACTTACAAACAACCCGATCCATACCTTACACTCTCTTTATGAAAACTCTCCTTCTGGTGGTAGAAGACTTCTATCTGCTTCTTCCATTGGCATCTGCAACTGGAACTTTGGTTGTGCTGAAGAAAGGTGAGATGCCATCCTTTTTTTTTTATTTTTTGTCCATTCATCTGGATCTCAAAGGATATGAGGTCCTCCTTTATCTTGTGCCTTCTAAGTTCTCGGTCTACCCAGTTTTGTCCTGTATTTAATACCCAAAATTGATTACATATGCATTTTTCTTCTGTCATAAACAGGATAGATGTTACGTTTCTGATATGATTATTTCCATTTAACTTGGGCTTTTCTGTTTGTTGAAAATTATTCAGCCGGTACATTTATCTCGGGCTTTTTATTATTATTTATTTTTTCGTCTCTCATTCCCTCTACAGTTAGAAAATTAATTGTAGGATTGAATTTTGTCCTGCTCTAAGTAGTAAACTTTTATTTGTTAATCACTGTTGGGAGAAAGGCTGTTCTTACTAAATTTCAATTGAATTTTATTAGGCCATCATTGGTTCCTCAAACAGGGAATCAGGGAGTTTGTATATCTGTTGCCTATTGTCCCAGCAGCGATGACATTGTTGCTACATATCGTCCCAGAGTTGAAATGTCCAGTGAGATGACTGTTTCTCAGCCATCACTTACGCCTTCTCCTGTTGCTGGACAAGGAGTGCTGGGTTCCCAGCTTCATTTGAAGAGAGTGGGTGATGAGTATCAAGAGTTGGGTACTGCATGTGCCACTGTAAGTAATATTCGACTGCCTAAATCCGTCATCATAGACATAGAGAACCAGAAACCACTATTTGCAGCTGGGGACGAAGCAACATGTGGATTGATCTTGCAAGAGTTGCCATCTTTTACTTTCGTTCAACGTCTAATGTCACACAAGCATCCTATATGTGATGTGAAGTATACAAGCACACTACAGCCTGGTTTACTTGGCTGTTTGAGTTCTGATATGTTGCAGCTTTTCAGTAGCAATCTCTCATAAGTTATGTGAAAGGTAAACATGTTTTCAGAATCATATTCTATGTATTTTTATGTTATCACACTATTTTGTCATCCCTTATCATAAATGTCTACTCTTCAAGTATATTCTGGATACTTCACTAATATCATCAGAAAGCACTACACCTGCAATCAGGATCATCACACAATTGGGTTTCTATTGAATGCTGCAATCGACATCCAAAATGTATACTGAGAGGCAAACTAAATAAACATGTCATAATTTAGGGATTGTTGGAAGTTAGGGATTTGAGAAATCTGTTTTTTTGATATAGAGTTCATGAGATAATTTATTCTCGAACTTGAAATCTCTCATTTCCTACACCTTCTACAAGAGTTAGGAAGATCAATTAGACCATACCTGATTGGTTTGTTAAAATGTGAACGGAAGTTATCATCAAGAGAATGATTATAATTACCCCTTATATTTATACATATATATATAGATATATATATTTTAATTTTTAAGGTGAATATATTATTTTTTATTTTAAAGTATTATATAAATAAAAAACATTAATTATTTTTTTTAAAAAAATATTTAATAGAAATTATTATTTTTAAATAATAATAGATAAATGATAAAAAATTATTAGTAATTATTTTCATAACATTAATGAAGTTTAAATCTAATATAAATATAAATCAGCTATCAATCGATAAGAGCTCTAAATTGTAGTTTATGGAATCAAAAACTGATTGAAATAATGAATTAACTATCAACTGAATTAAATGCTATTTTAGATTCTTGACCATTTAACGGTGCTTTTAGCACTTTGCCTTGAAACAATCACTCAAGCTGGGATACCAGGTTTCATGATGATTATCAATAAACAAAACACAGTTATAGCAATAATTGATTTGAAACTTATTGCAGACATTGCACTTTTTGATGGTGGTCATCCAAAGAGAAGAATCTGGTTTTGCCAAGTCCATAACATTGTATTTATGTAATAAGTCAATTATTGAATAGGATTCAATAACCATTAATTAAATTGTAGTCTCATTAAATTTTTTTTATGTTGTGATTCTCATCCTCGCTGCATACTAACTCCGAGGAACTTTTTAAGTTGATCAAAATATTCTAGCTCTATCAAGTACATTAGCCCACAAAGCATTCGCACCGTGAACAATAATCTGTGTAAACAAGAAATTTATCCAACTTAGTAAAACCTTTGTCATTTAGGCTTCATCTGTGTAATGTCAATGGTGTATTACTTATGGCGAATAATGACTTTAAAAATATTGCACCTCAATATCTGCAAAACTATAACATGGACTATTAACTGACGCCCATGCTCTTTGGAGAATATTTGCTATTTTCACTAATAAATATACTTCTTTTTTTGTTTTCCTCTTCGTTTCTTTTTCCTCTCTAATTCAGAAACCCATTGAACCTAACATATTATCAAGAGTAGCTCATCCATAAGAAAACTCCCTGATTCAATTGAAGTTAAAACTCTGAACACCGAGGAACTTGCATCAATCATTCTGATTCTGTTCACTTAGCCATTGCACTCAGCTTGCTATTGTTGCACTTTGCATCTCATGAATAGTGATAAGTGTTGCCAATTATTTATTCTCAGTTCCTTGCCGTTCCCGAAGTCCACATGCAGCTGTCTCATCTTTTTGTAATTCACTTGATACTATCCTTTTCCCCCTTGCTTTTGGAGGCCCGTAATTTGCCAAAAACTAACAATTCACAGAGAAAATGGGTTGTGTTAATCGTTATCATCACCACCATCTTGGTCCATGTCATCTGCATTATGATCATCATCGTCAGCTTGCCCCTGATCAGCATCTCCAAGATTACTATGCATCATAATGTCATCCAGATCTTTGTCAAACTCTGCTGGCAGGTTTTCTCGAATCTTCATAGATTCAAGATTTGAATCACTGAAAAATGAAGTATAGGGCTTGGAGACCTGCAAGAGGACATATATTAATAGGAACCAGAGGAAGAAATCAATTTGCTTGCAGATTATGGGACTAACTGTTAGTGAAAGAAACAAAAGTAATTCTGGCATAAACAAGATATACACTTTTGCCTGGAAGGAAAAGAGAATCAGTATACACCTTAAATAAAAAATCTCTCTTCTCAGCACTCTCCACTAGATTGTTCCAATGCTCATCAGTCCTTAAAGTTGATGCGGAACCAACCACCTAAAGAATCAATCAAACCTCAGTTTTCATAAAATAAATCGTAAAAGATGACATTTATCAATAAAGCATACCAGCACAGTTGACTTTGCTCTGGTAATACCAACATTCATGCGCCGGGCATCAGAAACGAATCCAATACCCCTGTCCTTATTGGACCTAACACATGAGAATATTGCAACATCCTTCTCTCGACCCTGGCAAAGCATTTCAATGTATAAGTTGGTAATTAAATTTAAATTTTTAAAACCCTCTCTTTTTTTTAAGATAAGATTTGATTTAACCAAATCCACTTCAGGGTTCAAACAACTATTCAGCCATGACTTTGCAATAGTTTATGACTGCTTACAACGATCTGACAATATGATGTGATCCTCCAGTACAAGTTTCAGAGGCAGAAAATAGATTCATCTCTCTTTTGCAGGGATGTAAATAATTCATTGTCTAAATGAAAATTCGGCTTGTAAATAAAGGCTCATATAATGCAATTTTTATCTAGCAAATGAGCCAGCCTCAAAAATGATTCCCACTACAAACCAAATTAATGGCTCAATTAAGGGTAACAGGAAGCTTACCTGGAAACCATCAACAGTTTGTATATCCACAAACTTTTGGGAATCCTGCCCAAAAGTTTCCTTAAATCGGTCTTGGAAAAGCTTGACTTGGTATCTATAGGGAGAGATAATTGCAAGGTGTGAACTCGATCTGAGCTCAGGATACATAGTCACCAATTTATGATACAAGAGGAGCACAAAGTCAATCTCATCAGTGTTTACCCAGGACCCACTTCCAGAGGGCTGTGATTCTTTTCCCTCGTGTATGTCAAAGAAGCAAAAAGGACCAAAACAGCGATACTTATGCCAGTCACGCACTGTCTTGCTCGCAATATCTTCTGCATCCTGCAATGCCTCAGAATAGAACTCCTTCGAAGGAAAGTTCCTTATCTGTTTGACAAGTAAACTTGACAGAGATTAGACAGCTAGACTACACTGTAAATAGATAGTAACTATATGCATAGCAAGGCCATCCCATGGCTGGATTTCAATTTATGCAGGCCCAGAATCTCCATCTTCGTTTGAAAATTGGGGATAATATTGAGACTGCAAAACCATATTGCATAAAATTGTATCCCCACAGAAGTACAACATATTTTGAAGTTTAAAGAAACCAAGAGAATGGTGAAATTCCAGAGAGAGATAGTGATGTCAGGTACAAAAAAGATCAAAATCAAGGACATATTGTACTTTCCTTAAAGCTAGCGTCATTGCATTTATCCCAGGGCCATTCAAACAGGTCCAATTGATCCAGAATTAGGCACAAAATACCAACTAACATTCAGTTATTAGTACTATTTTTATTTTCATAATTGATTATAACAATCACAACTTAATATGTACCAAACTCATTTGATAAAAGCATCTACCAAAGTTTCTCATCTGACCTCAGGATGCATTCGATACTGCACCTTCAACATATTCACTGGATAACCAGCTCTCTGAAGCCTCTCAAACAAACTCGTTCCATAGCTTTAACAAAATAATAGAAAAAGAACATTATCAACAAAAATAATGCAGTAAACATAAAAGAATAGACAAATAAAAACAGAACCCATTACCCAAATTTCTCAGCAATAGGAGAAATTACAGTGGCTGGCAGTTGAACAGGATCTCCAACCTAAAATAATAATTAAAAAGGAAAATCTGTGAAATCAATTATGAACATACAGAAACATTTACATTCCCTTAAAACATGCAGTTGTGAATATGTGCAAAGCAGCACATATTTGGCAGCTTGTAGATGTACTTGTGTCATTTACAAGTTTTGTGAGACACACACCTGTTCATGAGCCTCGTGCTAATACTACCCAAGATATACCAAGAATTTTCGATTGTGACAGACATATTATTGATATTAACAGCAGAAGCCAACGGTGGTTCATAGGGTATCAAACACAATGACTGCAAGGAACTAATAGGAAGTACAACCACAAAAGCTTAGAGATATACCAGAAACACTTGTTTGCATCCATTGGACAAAGGAACGAGAGTTGCTGGTTCCACCTGTTTAAAGTTGATATCTTATATATTTTCACACAGATAAAAAAGCCAAATACAAAATGATGACAAAATTGGAAAAAATCTGCAGCTGTTAAACATTCATAAAGACTCTCAAATATGTGCTGTGAAACTACCATAGGAAATGTGAAGCCATTGCTTATTAATACTACACACACTCCATTGACAAAAAACAGCTATTGTTTTCATATCCAATTTTTTTTGCTTAAATGCTTTCTTATATCTCCATTTCCAGTGAGGTCAGGCTTGAGACAAAAATCATTATGTAGGGCAGAGTTTTATCCTAAACCACTCTCCAACATGACATCTGATCTTATACTAGTTGCATCACAGTAATTTTGTATTTATCTTGTTGAAAAAGGTAAACCATGAGGAAAATTTTAATACAAGTGACTGACTTTATAACTAACAAACATTAAATCCGCCCATCAATATTGCAGAAAACATGGGTATAGAGGTTTCAGTCTAAACAAAAAATTAAAATTAAAGCAACCATTTATCACTGTTTGAAGAAAAACAAACTACAGGTTAAGATATGCTTTATTTTTCTTCTTTTATCAACCGCCAATTTTGGATTTCACTTTCACATCTGTATTAACAGTAAAAGTTCTGTGCATTTAACATTGACAGATGAGTCATAATAGAGATGAGAGCATAAACTGCAAGTGGTCTGATGAGCATGCAGGATCTTGGCACTTACAGCTTGGGCAGCTTCATCTATTATAACAACATCAAAACCATGATTCAATTTACTAAAAAGGGCTGAACCACTGAAGCTGAGTGTGGAGCAAACCTGCCAAAACAGAAAAAATACAGTAAATTCACAGGATGTAAGGATTTCATTTCCACAGGAGGTTAAATTTACATACAATTACAGCTTCTTCCAGAATAGCAGTGCGAATACTATCAGTATCTCCTCCCCCAGCTCCATGTTTCTGTTTATCAACAGCTGTATCACCTTGTTTTTGTCTCACCTGCAAAGCCAAAAAAAAAAAAAAAAAAAAAAAAAAAAAAACAGGGAGGTTTAAAAATTTACATTACAATTACAAGCTTCTTCCAGACATAGCAGTGCGAATACTATCAGTATCTCCTTCCCCCAGCTCCATGTTCTGTTTATCACAGCTGTATCACCTTTTGTTTTTGTCTCCATCCCTAGACATAGTACCTCATTAAAAAAATTAAGAGAGAAAAAAAACAAAAAAAATAGATGTGATATTAACAATAATGAAGGTAGAGTCGCCATAGCATCTCTGGACATGAGAGATAAATTTTAAGGATGTCGCAATTGGGTCGGTCATATAATCACTCAAAGTTCCTTAGAGATCTTAATGAATAAACAATGTCAAACAATTATTTTGTCAAACACTATACATTTCACTTATATGTTTTTGGTTCCTTGCACAAATTTTAAATGTGTTTGACTTGGGGATGGTGTTCCAGATGTTTGCCTTGTGTTACTTTGGTTGCTGTTTAAAGGCGGCCTAGAAAAATCCCCGAGTATCATTTGCACAATTTCCAATTGCCTAAGCAATTATAATATCCCCTTCTTTGAAGATAGGAACATTATTTGGGTAGCTTGCACGCAGATCTGGGCAGTTAAGGTTGAAACATGTTTAACACTATATGCTGTCTCATCTTTGGACAATATTACTCCTCATGGTGATGGACAATTAAACAACAGCGCAAAATTGAAGGTCGCGCATTGTTTGAAAAGAACTTTGTGCATAGAATTCATTTAGCCCTAGATATAGCTAGCAAGAAATACAATAGCAACGCTAAATTCAGTCTCTTTATATCTATTGCTTGACATACAACGGTAATCTCCATGCAGGGAGCGTGACTTGCTGAAGGGCCCTATGGAAATGGCCGGTCGAGTTGATGAGCTTTAAGACAATCCGCACAATTTTAGGTTGAGGTAAAGTTTAATGAAACATTTTTACATCAACGAACTATCCAATGGTGTATAAGATATACAAAAATATATGTTTACTATAAAAATCTATGTTCACAGGATGAATAGTTCAAGATTAGGTGAAATCAGTGAACAATAGGATTCCCCACGAGGTAACAGACTTATATTAGGGAAAAAAGATTTGATCAAGGGTCTTTTTATGGGCAATGTTATTTATGAATTTTATTTCTTATGTTCAGAAAAAAATAAGAGGTATATTCTAGGAGAATCGGGAAGATTATATTAGTTAGCTAATATGATCAGCTTTAAGATGTATCCCCAATACAACATTAAGAAGTCATATTTATATTTCCTATGTGAGGTCCTATAGTGCGTAAAAGGTTATAGCCATAACACACCTTCATGGCGATGCATGATTGTGTGGGTGATTCTGTAAAGGGTTCCAATTGAACTTAGTTAAATAAATCCCTGACATCAATTCACGAGATGATGATAGTAATTTGGTAAGAAGATGTTCTCCAATGTAATTAATGGTTAGCGGAATCCAAAAGTTACTCTAATCTCTTAGCTTGATGCTTAAAAAATGCTATCATTCCAATTGTTGAGGTACCACTTAGGGGGGGGGGTTTTGGGGGGGGGGGGGGGGATGGCAATAAATAGTCTTTCCACTAGCACCTCTTATATGAACTAAGCATGGACCTTATGAACAGAACATTTTGTGCATGGCATTCCTTCCATTAGCCTCTCTCTGATTCACCTTCTCTTTTCTTTTGGGATGACTTAGGATTCAGGTTTTTCTGTGTTTCATTTGAGGCCAAAAATTTTTTTCAAAGTAAGTTTTTGGAAGAATTTCTGCTAATTTAAAATTTTGAGGGAACATGGAACAGGGAATGGAGCAGATATGCCATGATATTTTTGCAGTAATATAGTGCATTTTTGGTTTGGAAATGCAAGGAGTTTTAGAAATTCAAATCCAGCCTTTAGTGCTTGTAACTTGTTTAAGACGAAATTGTGAAACCTTGGCTCATACTAGGGTTCTGCCTTTTGAGATCTCATGAGATTATCTCTTGCCAAATTGTTGCAGTTTCAGCCATGATTGGGAAGGTTTTACCCTTTTTAGTCGTCTTGGCCTTTCTAATTTGCGTTCATTTTAGAGGACAACCTTACCCCCATAAATTCTAAATACCGTCCTGTTTTTTCTTCATTTAATAAATTTAGATTTTGTGTCTTAAATGGGAAGGGCAGGGAGGAAATTTGACATTGATTCTCACAAAACATAAACAAAGGACCAAGAATTTTATTAAAAACTGAATTAAACCAATACAATATTCATGGCAACCCACCCCCATCTTTTATTAGGGAATTTGTTCTCAGACTTTTTTGAGTCCCTTTGAAAAAACTGCTATACAATCAACTTAGAGAAGTTTGTGGCTTCATCTGCAATGTGTACTATGGACACAGAATGTGTTCCAGGGGAGATAAGGCAAGATCAGCTATATAGCACAAGTGATTTCTGCAAATTAAGAAATTTAAGAGCAACCAAAAATGACAATATCCGTATTAAATTTTTTAGGAAAAAATAGATATTTCATTAGCAGATGACACTGATAAAAAAGAAAAGTTGATGGAAGTTCAAAATCACCATGGGGGAATATGATATGAGCTGGACATAAAGAAAAAGATTGTGGTTCTTTTTTTTCATTAATTAAGAAAAAAAAATAAGAATATTTATTATTGAGGCAGGAAAAGGAAATTGCAAGATGCCTTTGGTTTAAGTGCAATGGAAGAAAATTTATCAGCAAGAATAACCCAAACTTGCTTCACAGTCATTGAAAGTTTTCTTCTTAGGTTGAAGTTTTTGAATGGGTGAATTCAAGTTCCCTATACTTCTTGGCTATGCAAGAGAATGAAAAGATATAAATTTTTGTACATTTGTATTATTTCTTTGCCATTCCATGGCAATAATTATGAACTTGCACACAGTATTATTTTCAAGATTCACAGATAATCAAGATTTCAGATTCTGGGAACTAGTGTAATCTAAACAGAATCAACATTCCCCGGCAAATACTATTAATTAGACCAACCTTTAGGCTCATTCTCTGCACCATATCGTGGCTAACCTAAACAAGCACTGAGATAAAAGAAATACATACTATCACTAATAGACTGCATAGAAAAAATTGGACTTCCATCAACGCATATAATATGATAAGTGAAAAGTCAGCAAAGATAAGTGAGGATGAACAGTGGATTAAGCTGCAAAGTGAAAAACTTGTACCAGTCCTGAGAAGGAGAAGGACAATCTCATCAAAGTGCAGAGTTTGATGGGGCACATACCTAACACGCTGTTACCACGATATCTACGACTATGAAGCAACAAACTTCTGGTTTCTGCCACAACTTAAGTTGCACTTCAGGAGAGATGATCTTCGAATATTAATGTTCAGATGAATAAATTCATTATACTCGAACATCTCAATAACTTCTCCTTCATATGTTCAACCAGTCATAGAGAAGAACCCCCCTCTTCAGATCTGTGCCATACGCGAGTGTACTTGTGGGCATGTATATATAGTATATCCCTTCGCGTTATTGTTATTATTCCAGATCAACCAAGGGATGAAGCGTAGTGCATGGGCCCATGAATGAAAGATGGTATACCTGCAAAGATTATGTGGCAAATTTTTAGACAGCTTAGTGAAGGAATACTCTCACAAGAGAACCCGGGGCAAAACCAAGGTGATGACACAAACCAGGCCATCGGATTAAAAAAAAAAGATGAAGATAGAAAACAACCCATGGAATAAAGAGGAGATCAACAGTTTTGGAGAACCCATCAAACGCCAACCTAGGTTACATGAGCAAATACAAGCGATCAAAAGGTATCACTTTCAAGTCTCCTAGTCTACACTCAAAAGAACTTGAAACACCTGTAGGGTCATGCAGTAACATTCTTAAAAAGGACACTCTCAGGCAAAAACTGACTAATTAGGAGCTGTGATATATATTTATTTTTCTAAAAGTTGCCATCAATCATCGCATCTGATCTAAACTACAAGAACATTCTAGTACCATGTGCAAAGCAGAACAAAAGGATATGCAAGAAGTGGAAAAGCTCATAACATTGCGAGGATTACCCTCCTACTTTTATACCTTGTCTGTCCTAGTCTTCACACTCATGGTCAAAGCAACAAGTTTCAGGTAATAACCAGAGAGGCGCGCGCAAGATTTAAGAAACCCGTCCAACATACGCTCGGAGCGGTGTAGGCTAACTGGCATATGACCTTTAATTCAAGGCTTATGGGTCTCTGTCTGGTGCCGATCAATCCAGTCTAAATGCTCGGATCGAGAAGTGGGACCTTCACATCAATGCAATTGCAGAAACAAACATGGCATTGGGAGTTAAAAACTACAGGACAACATCTGAACGTTGAAAACAATTGAGCATGCACATGATAGTGAATCGTGTTCTTTCCAGCCTTGATGTTATTTCATATGGAAGCATTGATCCCATTCTTTAGACACTCAGATGCACAAATCAGGATACTGTATACCGGATTAAATACTTCAAGAACCTCCAAAATGATCATGTCAAAATGCATGAGTATAGAAACTGGCACATACTTCACTTCAATTGGTGTTAACTTAGCTTTCTCGGTCACCACCCTCCAACTTGTGTCAAATCTCATTCTGCGTGGATCTTCATCTCCTTCTCTTTGTGTTATTGAACTTTATGTAAGGAAAACAGTAATAGAGTATAGCTGAAATATAATAACTACATAAAAAAAAAAAGATTACTATTCTTCATAGTCAAAATGGAGCAAAGATGGCTAGGTTTTAATTCTTGACATCTATGTGTTCTTTTTATAGTTATTTCTTTTTATGGTTTTGCTACCCGATTATTATCTTTTTAATTTCGATTTATGTTAGTTATTACTCTCCTGTTTCAGAGCTTTTTGGCTCATTAGCGGATTTAACCAAAAAAATATTTTCCCTCATGTTCCTTAAGAATTCCACAAATTTCATTGGACAACGTATCGGATAGCTACTCTAAAAAAA